CTGACGTTTGTAACGATTCAGAGAGCTCCGAGAATTATTATAAAATATATTTTTCCCTTGCAAACACAATGTTAATATAATTTTGTTGTTCCCCTTTAACATTGTGTTTCTAATTTTTTAATAGAACGTTGGGGAATGGACTCTATTTAAAAAATTTCTTAATCCAGGCAAATTAGAATAAATGGCAAAATTTACGTTTAGTAAGTACCGACTGGAGAGTTCAGTGGCATAATAGTACAGTCGTTGCCAACTACATCGTTCATGTTGCAGGCGTCTGGTCATGGTCGTACCATTGACCCTGTCAGATACTTCAAATTATGCTCATGCGGTATGCAAACCGTTCCTCTCGTTCAACTATCCTCTCCTTTATCGATAACTCACAGGAACAGTTCCATATTTGTTGAACACATTTATATTCGACATGAACGATGCACTTTATCATTTAATGTGCTCCATAACCTATGATTTTAATATATCAGATACTCGTCTATGTTTATGTTACTGGGAAATTAAATAAATAATTAAAAATAAATTTTAAACATATTTTATAGGATTGGAGACCATAGTTTTCGATCGACCCTCGAATGTAGCATACAAAATGGCGAATTAAATAAATAAAATAAATGATTAAAAATTAATTCCTTTTATCTCAAACATACTTTATAGGATTGAAGACCATAGCTATCGATCGATCCTCGAATGTAGCATACAAAATGGCGAATTAAATGAATAAAATAAATAGTTAAAAATAAATTCCTCTTATTTTAAACATATTTTATAGGATTGAAGACCATAGCCATCGATCGACTCTCGAATGTAGCATGCACAATGTGACTTCCGGTCAACAGTGATCTTAATTAAGTTTTTAGTCGAAATACCTAACCTCAAATTGTTGGAGGGTCAACACGTCGTTCCGTTCTGTTAATTTTCTAATTGGGCGATAGGAGCTACGTATCTCTCGTTTATTTACGTACGCCTGTATGTAGGGTAATATCTCGTTTCGCGGTGCAACTTTCTCACCGGCGTGGCGTTGTATTGTGCGTTTCTCTAAAGTTGCTCGCGAGGGGCGCACCGTTTCACGCGCGACCAGTCCTAAGCCGCTAATTATCGTCGCGTATTGACCCTGGGAGAGCTGCAGCGAACGATAAGAGGCAACAACCGGGGCAAGTTAATCGGGGCCAATGGGATCGCACAAGGGGGGAACGTAAGGAAGAAAGGAAAGGAGTCAAGGCGAGGCCGCCAGTCATTGCACTCGTTAGAATTCGTTCTGTCGATCAAAAAGGTGTGCCAAAGAATCTGACGAGTTTTGAAATCCGTTAGAATATTTTAGAATTTCCAGGACGATTCTGGCACAAAAATAAACACACGCGTATACGAGCTTTTCTCCTCGAAAGATGTTTAAATGCAACATTTGTATTTATAATCGTGTTTTGTACGAGTGGAAATGAAATACGAGAAAACGAGGATAGCTCTGCTCGTGAATCATCAACAACGACCGATATCGTATCTTCTATGCAACGATGGTAATAGAAACGATAATTGTGTGTACGTATACGTGCACCACATTGTACATTTAATAAAATAATTCCCAGCTCGTAGCATGTTTTGATACGATTTGCTGCATTTGCCTGTAACATTCGAATGAAAACGAGAATTATTGTTATTCGATAAAATATAAAAAATGATAATATACGATATTGGAATTTTATTAATGATACCTAACAATAGTACTAATGACAAATTTGTACAAACGTACGAATATTGTGCAATAAATATAAAATTATACTATAAATAATAAAATTGCAATAAATAATAAAATTATACAGGGTGTTCGGCCAACCCTGGGAAAAATTTTAATGGGGGATTCTAGAAGCCAAAATAAGACGAAAAGCAAGAATACAAATTTGTTGATGGAGACTTCGTTAAAAAGTTATTAACATTTAAAGTTTCGTCCATACTGAATTTTTTTCTCGAAAATGCGCAAGATTTCGGGGGTATGTCTATTCACCAAAAATGATTGCAATTGACCCCCGCAACCGAAAATAATTTTTCCAAAACGATTTGAAATTTTTTTTCCCGTCGAAAAATTTCATACCTTCACGAATTTTTTTCTCGAAAGTGGATAGGATTTCGGGGGTATGTCTATTCACCAAAAATGATTGTAATCGATCCCCACAACTGAAAATAATTTTTCCAGACCGATTTGAAATATTTGAATTTAATTGTTAATAACTTTTTAACGAAGCTTCCATCAACAAATTGTTATTCTTGATTTTCGTCTTATTTTGGCCTCTAGAATCCCCCATTAAAATTTTTCCCAGGGGTGACCGAAAACTCTGTAAACGTAGAAAAAATATTGCAATGAAATTCTATTTTGTACTTGGAAGAATTGTTCGTATTTTGAAGTTTCTGTGGTTCAGGCAACGAGCACGAGCGCTGATAAGATCTGTGGTTTACACAGTTTGCACTGCAGAGTTACGTAACTAACGGTCCGGACATCACATTTATTTTAACTCGTAGATCGTGCTAACACGTAACGTCTGAGTTTGTCGAATAAATTAGCCTCGCGGCGAAGACAGTGGAATAACTGGACGTCGTTCCGAAAAGTTAGGTCAACAATACGCGCAGTGTATGCAGCATGGAATGCCGGACATGAATTATTTATCGTATTTATTACGTGCATTACAGCAGAAGGCTTTTTATGGTAATAGAATTCTATGGAGCATGTACGCCTAACGCGTTCTTAATTGAAAATGTTACACCACAAACCCAATTTAATTATTGGTATACAGATCTCGAAGATTAACGCTCGAATCATTACGAATCGTTTTAGTTTAATTGCATTTGATTCGATTCAAAAGCCTATGCTTTGGTGATCACTGTTAACGAACACTGTTGTCAAATATTCTGCACTCGAGTATTTCTCAGATCGTAGAAAACCTTCTTCAAGAAGTTCATTTTCTGAACTAATTTATGGAATAATTCCCTTTTGACTTTTACTTCAAATTATCACCAGCGAAAACGCTTTATAACGAACGGGGTCGGTTGAACGCTTGTGAGAGCGCGAGCCCTCTGGCGGCGAGCATGGGAGGCGACGCCACAGGTTAATTCGATGATTATTCAAGACGATACAGCGAAATGATTCGTTCCTTTTTTAATCGAAGTTTAATTCCCGACGAAGTAAACTGTAGGTTGCGGCTCGCGGGAACAGAAGCAGCTTCCTGTAATAACAATTACTCATCCACCATGATAAACGTCTCGCTTGATCGTTCGCAACGAGCTTCGCGTACGTTCTTCCTCAAACTTGAAACGACAGAGTCGTTTCTCGTGCTCGTAGTATTTATACATTGACTTCAGGGCTAGGGTCGTTCGCTACAAACTCAATTACTTTTTCCTTTACGATACGGTCGTAAAATTTTGACGGAAATATCATGGGCTGCCCTTCGTGTACCTAATTGCGGTTTATGAATTTCCAAGATGGCCTGTCGGATTTTCGCATTACGCGTGATCGAACGTTTCCTCGATCGCGAGGATCTGTAAAAACTGATGTCGAGAGGAAACCTTTGTTTACCACGAGTATCCTAACCTTAAAAAAACAGAATTATCAATCCACGTACGATTTAATTACGAGTAAATTCTCGAGAACGTACCATTTAATTTCGTGTTGATTTTAAAAAGAAGTGTCACAAAATGGAATATACTTTTTTTAAAAATCGACCGAACGAAATTAATTTCCATCGTTTCGATCGCGTTCGCGTGTCAGCGAGTGAAAAGATCGCGAGAGGAAATGTGTGCACGTAGATTAAAGGGATAAACCCTGACAGATCGAATATTCATCCCGTTAACGGCTCTCGATGGAGACGAGGACTTCTCACAGAGAGCGTCGAGTGTCGTCTTTGCGCTTCCGCTCTTACTCCGTTGCAAATTACTTTCCCGCGTGTTCGGTCCTACTGAATGTTCCATTATAAAGTCGTCGAAACATTTACTTGGTCGCCACGAATCAATGAATCCGAAGTTAAAATTATTTTAGGGGTTTCCAGAGGGTGCAGAGCTTTCCATACTCTCTAGATTTACAATTCCACCTGCTTCAAATTATTTTTCTACCCACTTCTAAATATGCATTTGTCACACGACGTGTTACAGACGAGGTTTTACCGTATTCCTTAATTGTAAAAAGTTATTAAAAAATTAAATTAAAAAATTTCAAATCGTTCCGAAAAAATTATTTTTAGCTTCAGAGGTCAATTACAATAATTTTTGGTGAACAGACATACCACGGAAATTCTACGCATTTTCGAGAAAAAAATTCGAATAGGTATGAAATTTTTCGCAGAAATTAAAAAATTTCAAATCCGTCTGAAAAAATTATTTTCTGTTGTGGGGGTCAAATACAATCATTTTTTGTGAATAGACATAACCACGAAATTCTACGCATTTTCGAGAAAAAAATTCGAGAAGGTATGAAATTTTTCGACGAAATTCAAAAATTTCAAATCGTTCCGAAAAAATTATTTTTAGCTGCAGAGGTCAATTACTATCATTTTTGGTGAATAGACATACCCTTGAAATTCTACGCATTTTAGAGAAAAAAATTCGAATAGGTACGAAATTTTTCCACGAAATTCATAAATTTCAAATCTTTCTAAAAAAATTATTTTCGGATACAGGGGTCAATTACAATTATTTTTGGTGAATAGACATATCCCCGAAATCCTACTCATTTTCGAGAAAAAAATTCGAATAGGTATGGAATTTTTCGTCGAAATTAAAAAATTTCAAATCATTCTGAAAAAATTATTTTCGGATACAGGGGTCAATTACAATTATTTTTGGTGAATAGACATATCCCCGAAATTCTACGCATTTTCGAGAAAAAAATTCGAGCAGTTAGACAAAATTAAAAAATTTTCGATCGTTCTGGAAACACGACAATTGGAAGTCCCTTTCGTCCTTTTATTTTGTCTAAATTCGCGTTTACTACGGACGTTTTTCTGTTGCAGGTCTCTAGAGAGCGGTAAGTGATCTTCCCAGGAAAGCCAGAAGAGTTGCTGAGCGTCTGACGAGAAGATGCCGCTTCCAAAGCGACTGGTCGAGCCAGTGCTGGTCGCACGCGGCACCATACCCGAGGACTTCCCGTTGCCGTCTGAGTTGGAGGCTGTAACCAATGGCACCCTGGCCAACACCATCAGGCAACTGTCCAGCCTGTCGAGGCACGCCGAGGATCTGTTCGGTGAGCTTGCGAGGGAGGCTCACAGCTTGAGCGACAGGGCCAACTCCTTGCAGGCCAGGATAGACCGGCTAGCTGTCAAGGTTACCCAACTCGACAGCAACGTGGAGGAAGGTACGTTGCCTGGATTGATTATATAATAATACACGGTGTTTCTGAAACAGGTGACGCTAAACTCAAGGAGCACATTCCACGCCTCGCATAACTCGGTACTCTTGAATAACTGAAGACAAGGCCCAGAAAGAGAAAATAGAAATTTTAGTTATCTACGTACTAGGGTCGATCGATAACTATGATCACAAACAAATACTGCATATCACTTATCCTTCAGACAACTATTATAGAATATCAGAACACTTCAAAGAACGTCAATTTATGAAACGAGCCTCTTAACACTTTATCTACCGCTAATCGATTAATCGACTTTTGAGTGGCAAAGATCAATATCAAATAATATTTTAACAATTATGAATCACGATGGAAACACGTATTATGCACATCCAAAGAACGTTATAAATACCATCATCCCCAGTGACATCATTCGGTATGAATTTATCATAACAGCGAGGCACATTCGCGAGCGGAATAAACTAAACGATCAGAAATTCACTCGTGTCTCGTGTTGCAACACATACGCTTTGAATTTCCATCGAATACGCGTGCAGAGTGGCTATAGTCGGATCAAAATCAACCAGCTCCGAGGCTCAGACGTTATCCCGTCCGCATCGTTCGGCTACTCCCCCACAAACTCTCTTTGCGCAAACCTCCAGGCTCCCGTACCTACTCTTTGTCTTTCGAACGGAGAAACAAACTAGCACGATGTGAAAGTAGCAGCCGCGTCTAGCGTGATTCACAATCGAGGAAGTGGATACCAGCGGCCGATTGAGTTCGATCCGACTGTATAATTATACTATTTTACTTTGCCCGAGCGCCCATCTTACGGAATGCAGTTAAACGATCGAGTTCACAGCTATCGTGCGTTTAATAACAACGCACGAATTTTCGGAGACACTAACGCGTTTTCCATGTCTAGACATATCCATTTGTTCAAATTACAGTGTTCGAAACACGTAAGTTCGATGCCCATCATCAATGGCGGACCTGGAAGCCCCAAGTTTGAGAATCCCGTGTCTAAATATTGCAAAAGAAATATGTGTACACAGAATATGGCAAATGTGCTCTTTAGTAGTTTACGTGCACCTGTAATCACCGTTCTACGTTAATTTATTTGCGATCATTGCTAATTGAATTCTTTGATTTTCAGTTTCGTTGCAAGATATACATATGAGGAAAGCGTTCAAGAGTTCAGTGGTGTTCGACCAGCAAGTAGTCTCCAGGGACACTATGCCAACAGCGATGATGGAGACCTATCATCAGTGTGACACACCACCTCCTCTTGACAAACTTAACGTTTACAGGTACTTTGTTTATTCTATATAAAGACACTAATTTCCACGTTACTCCTGCTTAGTTTGGTTACCAAATTTCATCATTGACTCGAATCAGGTGAATTTGTATAAAGAACGAACGACCACGTAATACTAGAATAATCGTACATCGTAAAAGGTAAAAAAACATAGCTGGAAGACTACTCGGAGACAAAGTAATTTGAAAACACGAGATTATGTCACGACATATTTATGGTAGCGTTTCTAGTTTCCTCATATTTTAACTCGACGCAATTTACCAGCTGACAATGTAATAAACGAGTAAAACAGGTCACGAATAGTCCGTAAATGGATCAGTTAGGAGCCCGTGGTCTTTTGACATTCACGTCAGCAATAATTCAACCCTCTGTTAAAGTTCACCCTTGTAATACTGTTTTCAGGGAGGACGGGAAAGACGGATTGAAGTTTTATACAGACCCAAATTACTTCTTCGAGCTGTGGAGTCAGGAGATGTTCAAGGACACCGAAAAGAAATTGCACGATCGGGGGAAGAAGGTAAAGAAGCGCCGTCTCTTTCGTGTTTCGAAACGTGCACCTCGAGTTACGTTCTTTTTTCTTATATGGGCGTACAGGATGTTCCATAGCGTACAGTACCTGCAGTCTCTGATAGACAGGAGACACAATAACAATGTAATTATTTTTCTGCTTCAAGCAATACATAGTTACTTGTCTTCTTAAAAACTGCTCTAAAACACCTGAACATTGTATCATAAACATGATTAAATTTCGTTGTTATTGCGTCCCCTGTCCAGCACAGAAGCAGGTACCACGTATTACGATATACTCTGCATAATAGAAAAGGCTGCTTTCGACTTAAGCTATTATTTTTATATTTTTTCTTTCTACGAACGTCTGCGAAATATCTTATTCCGTACACTAATTATCTAAGACTAAGACTAAGATTCACGATACAATAACACTTTTTTTCTGTTTTTTTTTCTTCTTTCTTTAAATACTTCTAAGTTTATGCTACGATTCTAACCATATGAAACTGTCCCCTTCGTTATAGACCGAGTCTGAATATGCCGAACCGTTCAGAGAGGCAAGTCGATGTTTGGATCTTTGTAGTACTTTTTTTTATTACCCTTATCCAGTTTTGATGAATTATCGATCGCCAACAAACCACTCACTCATACATAATCAACGCTCACTTCTTTGTGGTTTTTCATTAACCGACCTTTTATTGCGCTGATAGAGATTGCGCTAGATGCTCGCTTGAAACATTTTTGTAGTAATTTACGCTAGGATTAGCCAACGAGACATTGCTATTCTTCGATGTTCCGTCCACGGCGATCAGTTTCGTTGCGTAGACCGAATGTGTGTGTGTGTGTGTTGTCTCGATAAAAGAGTCCCCGTTTTGTCCTTTGGATATCGGTAAAGATCAGACGCGGATGTTCGATCTACGCATAAGCGCCCTTTTGACTCGAAACCCTTTATTTGTACACGAGTTGTCCACGAACTCAACCTAGTTTTGTCTTATTACCATTATCACCATTGTCGATCACTTGTAATGCCGTTCTGTGCCAGTCATGCAACCGTTGGATGTACTCGATAGAAGTCTCTCATCATCATCTCACGAGCCATCCTTGCAGTCGATTGCGATACTTGACGATCCTGGACCGTTTCAGGATTATTTTCTTTCCGATTTCTCATGTTTCACACGTAGGAAATAAAACTGCGAACTCGCGACCCGATTTATTGATTGTCAAATTGTTGGAAGGTACCCTAACTTTCTCGACAAACGTTTGGAACGAGCAACTTTTATTTCCTACAAAATTTCATGTTCGGTAGTTGATCCTGACCGCGGCTCAATTTGTAACCGAACGATTTCGTTGCTTGATGAACCAAGCAAACTCACGATTGGTCGTTTTTAACCCTTTTTGTTCCTCATGGCAGAAAAATATTAGTGCAACAAGATGTCAATAATTGGGGAAGATCGTGTTATAAAAGCTTGTGTTGCAGTAGAGGAATATAAAGTGTCAGAAGCCTCTATTATTAGATAAATAAAATCAATAGTTTCGTTCAAAAAAAAATATTAATGACCTTGAAGTGTCCTTGGCGAATGACCAATACGCACTATGTCCTCCATGAAATAAAATTTCAGTCTTGCAAAAATAAAAAATAAAATAGTTCAGACATCTGGTTTTGAGGGTTAAAGTTAGGACAGAAAGGGTTGAATTAATATTCCGTGAAACAACCGTCGAGCACCCATGGACGCCCACAGCATAGGAGAGATTTTGCCGAGCACCCATAAGCGCCCGTATCAACGAAAGCATGAAAGATATCTGTCCGACACATTGCACTAAGAACCGTATTGGATCAACCATCGAGTCATGCTTGATTGATGAAATTAAGCTTGTCTTGCACCTTTGCCGCGACGCTCGATCACGGCAACGGTTTAATAATGGATCTTTCTGCGTCACAGCCGCATAGGCCTCGGAACGAGGGTGGCGGCGGAGGCGGTGGCAGACACAAGAAGCGTATAAGGCAGCCGCACAACACGAGAGAAAGGCAGAAGCAATTAGCGGTGGGTCATGGCGAGTACATTATGCCGACGCAAGGAGTTCAATACAGAGCACCGCATAATATACCGGACGAATCGTTGCTGGGGATGGTGATGACCGAGCCACGGCCACCCAGGCCGAACAGTATTGAACTCAGACGAAGTTATCCGCCGGAGGAGCAACATCTGTACAGTCCTCCTTCTTCCGATCACTATAGGTTTGTAATTTTAAGCGACACTCGTCAATAATTGCATTAGAGGCAACCAGCAGTGATGTATCTTTCTTTATATTCTGTGTTTGTTAAGATAAAACATTGACAAGAGAGATATCAAATCAAGCTGATTGCTTCTATTGACTGATGCAAGAATTATCTAAATTCGTGTGTTTTAAAAAACAGGGCAGCGAATTACGTGACCCAGGGCTACGAAGACAGTTTGTACGGGTCACACTATGGCACGGGACAGGGGCAAGCGGGTAGCGAAACGTACCAGAGTCCTGGTGGTCAAAGCACACCGAGCAGAAGTGGTAGATCGCGACCTTCTCAACCACCGCCAGCACCACCGAGCAATACTTCTAGCAATTCAACGCCTACCGTAGCCTCAGCTAACAATACACCGACACGGGGACGGTCAATGAGCACCAGCAGGGATACTCTTCCACCACCACCTCCGCCTCCTGGTGAAACTATGTCTCCCCCTCCTATGAACGGTAATTGCAACACCAAAAGGTTTATTCGTACATGTCTATCTCTGATCAGTCGTGAAAAATGAATCATGTAGTTGTTTATTCTACATTTAGTAAATATATTAGGTAGAACAGGCAAGTCGAGCTTCTAAATCAATTATATCATTCCTTAACAATTTAATGGCCTCACGTATCACGCAAAGACTGTTGTTCTTCGCTATTGATATTGTAGACCAAAGTGAGACACACGAAGATGCTAGGAATATTATTATAAATGTAATAAGTTGAATGTATGATGAAATGGTGACTGATACAGTAGATCACGTATACGTGACAGCGGCCGTCAAAGTGTTAAGTTTAATTCTCATGTTCAACGTTGTCCAAGTTCTCTGTTGCTTTAAAACACCGACAAAGTAATTTATGTAAACCACGTTTGTCTATTGTTCCAGGTTCCATACCGTCACATTTATTGAATAGAAATGGAAGTCGTTCGAACAGTCCGTTACCCAGTCATCACTCCACGCCCACACCACCAAATCATTCGACTCAAATTGGGCAGGATGAGACCGACCCTGCTCCGCAAGATTTACCGCCCCCGCCCCCCACTCCTGATCCCACACCGCCCAGACCTATTTCTCCGCCTTGTAATATTCCGCCCCCTCCGCCACCCCCTCCACCGCCGCCTGTTCTTAATGGACCCACGCCGCCGCTACCCCTAACCAACGGCGATATTGCTAAAATGATAGCGACTAATCCACCGAAGTTGAAACCCCTGAAACCTTTGGATAATATGGACGGGCCATTGAGGAAGCCCCTTAATCCAAATATCCCCCTCGTCGATCCACGAAACGATCTACTTAAAGCAATTAGAGACGGTAATTATCCTATAATTCAGTCGATCGAAATTAACCCTTTGCGGTACATCCGTCTGTTGATACAATCCACCAGATCAAACTTGTTATAGGAGCGAAATATCGTAACAAAAAGCTTATCTGAACGAATAGCAAAGGGTTAATCGAGAAACGAAATTTTTCAGGGGTACTGTAATTCAGGGAAGAATGGAATTAAAGTGAATTTGTTAAAGTAGAGAAATCGTGAATGGACTTTGTATTTTTCAGGGATAAAATTGCGCAAGGTGGAGAAAATCGAGCAAAAGGAAGTGGAACGCGTGAACGCATTGTACGACGTTGCGTCCATATTGGCGCGGCGCGTCGCCGTCGAGTTTAGCGACAGCGACTCAGCGTCGGAGAGCGAATGCGACAGCGAGGGATGGAGCGAGCAAGAGACGAATCTCGCGTGACCAAACTCGCTTCCATCCACTGCCACTGCCACCTAGAAAAAATGGCTGACGAATTTTTCTTTGTTCTTACACTGTCTACGTTTCGTTCGAAATTTCGACGCCCGTCGCGTCCTCGCGCTGCTGAATAGGAAGCTCGTTCGACGTTTTTTTTCGCGCGCGCGCGTACGCGGTGTCGGATTTGAAAGTAGAATCGGAATCAGAATCAGAATCAGAATCAGAATCAGAATCAGCGAGTTTTTCGTTGCTCGGTTGTTCGCGTTATGTTGTTTTTTTTTTAGTACAGAGAAGCGTATAAGTGCAGTAACCGTTACTATAAGTAGAACCATTAAAATGATAAATGTTAATTCACAACAACGATTACTTTATTACACACCATTTCATCACCTCCGACAGGGTTAATTTTTGTTTTTTGTTACGAGCGGCGAGTATCGAGTAACTTGTTTTTTATGTTAACCGCGGGCTCAATTCGCTAGTATGTACGCGATCGAAAGAACACTATATGAGAATATTTAGCATGCCTCGAACGATTCTAGGAATCGTCAGCCAGAAATCCTTTATTATTTATTGCAGTTATTAAGATCCGATTGAGAAGGAAAAAAAAGAGAAAAATCTATCGTGGAGTAATAGTAGACTAAAATAAGGAGAGAGTCTACAAAGCATGATAAACATTTAAGTTCATGTAAATTTAGAATCTTTCCGAAGAACAGACACGTACACACTTATTTCCTATATCGCAGACTCTACTGGTTTCGTTTCGTTGTTGGTAAAGGAGCATAAAAATTTATGAAATAGATGTAACTACATGTCTTTCCGATTCTCTGATTTTTAAGCAGAATTCAACGAAGGTAATGAAGATAATAGAATAGTAGAGAATACGCGGATAAGACGAAGGTACGCACATGAAAGGAGGCGTCGACCTCCTGTCATTGCTCGATGTTGGTTGTAACGGAAGTGTTTCCTTATCGGCACATTCCATGTTAATAGTAATACCATGTAACGCAATAAACCTTTCCCCCCCGATCTGGACACTCGATTGTTCACTTACCAGTCATATACATGAGGAAGACGTTATATTTGTAAATCTGTTAGATATCTCAAATAATTCAAATCTTATTATTTCTACACGAGCAACGGAATCATTAAACAATTTCACCAACGACGTTTCAATCACTCATAGCTTGATCCTCTTTGGGTCAACAAACAATAAGGAAATATTAATGAAATGAATTATTTTCCAAATTGGTAAGAGAAATTAGAATATATAATATATTACTTTAAACCTACATTTTTAATTCATCTTACCAATTTGGAAAATTGTTACATTTCATTGTTATAATTTGTTACTGATGACTTAAAGAGTATCGGTGCCATGGGTGATAAAATTCTACTATCGTCTTTAAATTTTCTACAATATCTTTAATAGAATATAGACATCTTTTAACACGATTAAACTACCTTCATTAACAATCTTGATGTATATATATTCAATAATCCTTAAGAACTGTAGGTCACTTTAATGTAATTAAAGCGAAAAGATTCTTATCGATCAAAGGCAAGGAAATTTACGGTAATTCTTAAACCTAAATAATTCGTAATTACGAAGTCAGAAATAAGAGGTTATCATCGTCGAGCCATGTATATGACCGGGTAGTGTCTTAAAACTAAAAACGTGTGCTCTGTGTATATACACACGTTACGCGAGAGTGCGTATCGTACGTGAACTAAGTCAAAATCGCAGAGTTAATATTTTTTCCCCTCCTACCCCCCCTTGTCGTGTATAAGTCTGTAAAATACTTGTACCTTAAATGTTTTTGTATGCTTGACGAATAGGCAGGTACGCGAGCTACGTCTCGGCGTGAGTAACCGGCAGGTGGTTTTTTTTTTTCCCGATCTTTTCTACGTTTCCAAGTGATCTTCCATGTCCGCGGATCGATTCGCGATATCGTGGGAGAACGAACGTTCTTACCAGCGAAGTGTTGAAAACCAAAATAATACTCCGTTTTACTTGTAAGGGGAATGTAATTACCGAACGAGTGAGAGGACTCAATATTTTTTAGCGTTTAGAGGAAGAAAACTTAATATAGCGAGATATACTACTGTTACGGTGAGGATTACAGTTGCCAATTTTACGCAGAAAGGATAATGATTGTGATTTATTTTGCATCGATGTTGGTGAGGTATGATGACTATTGCTAGGATGTGACATATATGTATGCATCAACATTCTATATATATATATATATATGTGTGTGTGTGTATGCGTGTTTGTATGTACATATATGTATATGTACATGCGTACATTGCATACGTTGTATATGTTATACACAATGTTTTATTTATATGTTAACTTACTATCTGCGTTGCTTTTGTCGGTATGGTATCGACGAGGAATACTTTGTTTCGGAACGACACATATTTTAATTGTTTAATTAACCTTCTAAAGGTTTCTTTTCGGAGATTTCAAAGTTCTCGATATTTTTTTTTTTTTCTCGTATACGGGGCTCAGAAAAATTAGGAAGTGTACGTTTTAGGAAGTTCGATGAAATGGACTAAATATTAAGGATGAAATAGATATTGAATATTTAACGTAGTAATATATTGGATATCTAATTTATGCAGCGTGTTGGAATTCTTTAAAGTTCTGGATAACTAATTAAGTGAAAGAGTCACTTGATCAGGAAATCCTTTACTTATATCGCGCACAAATACACAAGCTCAACCATGATATGGTGACCGTTAGATTATTATTATTAAACATCTTTATTACGCATATGCGGAAGTATATATACGAATATTTATAGATAAAATATAATCAGAATACGTGTATGCATAAGAGAAGTGATACCTGGGTAAGAAGTAAAATACTCGGATCAGATCGTGATAGTTTGTGGAAAAGAATAGAACAAGTTTAAAATCCATGTATTTCTCTAGAAAACGTTAATCGAAACGAATGTTTTTTCTCGCAATATAAATATGTCCGTTCGAATGAAACAGTATCTTCCTTATGTATGTATGTATGTTTCTATATACTTGAAAGCGACGGTGATATTAAGATGATCGAGATAAATGAAACACTTTGTATATACATACATATCTAGAACGTTCGACAGGTTCCGTGCAAACTTATCAACATGCTCGATCCCTAAAACGAAGACAAAAATGTAATATAAATCTACATCGAAGAAGCTTTCGATATATCTTTCAACGTAACTGTTCACGACGATACATAACCTAACAGAAAGAGAATCGAACACTCACGAAAATTTACTATACAAGATTATTATAAACATTTTAATGGGGGATTCTAGAGGCAAAAATAAGACGAAAATCAAGAATACCAATTTGTTGATGGAGGCTTCGTTAAAAAGTTATTAACAGTTAAATTCAAAAGTTTCAAATCGTCTTGGAAAAATTATTTTCGGTTGCGGGGGTGAATTACAATAATTTTTGGTGAATACACGTACCCCCGAAATTCTACGCATTTTCGAGAAAAAAATTCGAGGTGTGAAATTTTTCGAGGGAAAAAAAAATTTTTCAAATCGTTCTAAAAAAAATATTGTCGGTTGCGAGGGTGAATTACAATAATTTTTGGTGAATACACGTACCCCCGAAATCCTACCCATTTTCTAGAAAAAAATTCGGGAGAATGTGAAATTTTCGACGGAAAAAAAATTTTTCAAATCGTTCTAAAAAAAATATTGTCGGTTGTGGGGGTGAATTACAATAATTTTTGGTGGTTCGACATACCCCCGAAATTCTACGCATTTTCGAGAAAAAAATTCGAGAAGGTATAAAATTTTTCGACGGGGAAAAAAATTTCAAATCGTTCTAAAAAAATTATTTTTAGCTGCAAGGGTCAATTACAATTATTTTTGGTGAATAGACATACCCCGGAAATCCTACCCACTTTCGAGAAAAAAATTCAGTATGGACGGAACTTTGAACATTAATAACTTTTTAACAAACCCTCCATCAACAAATTGGTACTCTTTATTTTCGTTTTATTTTGGCCTCTAGAATCCCGCATTAAAATTTTTCCCAGGATCGAAAGAGAGTTAACGAAGCATCGTTCGAGGTACGTTTATAAATCATAGTCTCATCTTTTAATCGTGGAGCATGTTAACCAAGTTTATACGTGAACCTGTTAGACACTAGGTACATATACGTATCGATCGTTAAGATTATTGTATAATCTTATGTGTTCGAGTGACGAGAATTGTTCAGGAAGTTTGTTCTCCTCCCTTCTCGTTTTCGAACGTTAACCGCAGATGTTCGTGAAACAAGGGGCGAGGATATCGTCGCCGTTAATTGGCGAGATTGTAGGCGAACCGCCCTCCTCCTGTTGGTTGGTTACGTTAGCATATTTCTTTTAAATACGAGAGAAGTTCGATTGATTCGAACCGCGCGAATTGTAATTTATATTTAATAATAATTCGTTTATTCCCGCTGACGTTCGCGGTCGGCGGTTTTATCTTGTATAAAAATGTGTGGGAAGGTAAAAAGGGCGAAGGATTGCGGAGTAAATCGAACCCGCTTAGCATATACGATTCATCGGCAACGACGCGTGTACATTCACATCGTTTTAAAACTATAGTCAAGAACGCTATTGTAACATGTAACATGTAATATGAATTAATTGATCAGTCTCGTCTGTACTGTGTTTATACATATACATATATATACATATATAACGATGTATGTATATATAAATATAATATAATTCGCAGTATAAATTCGTTAGGTTGTAAGGATTACGAGCGGTAGGAATACTTTCTAGCCACTTCGCCAACTACGACACAGTATTTATCGAAGGATTTTTGTAACACGACGAAAACGCGTGAGCGTGTCTCGGTCGTAAAAAAAAAACGAAGCTTGAATATCGTGCAAGTTTGTATGAATGTTAATTAATCGTCGACCGTGCTTACCGCGAGCTTATTCGCGCGCTAAATTATTGCGAAGCTGTTGTACCTAAATAAGACGGATATTCCAAAGCTTAATTAAAACGAGAAGCGTTCTTTTTCGCGGTTCGCAAAATAGGTGAGGTTACGACGATCGTCTCGTGCGTTCCCTGTTTCTACTACGAGCCACACAGTACTCGCTCAGCTGTCGTTGAATTTCCACAGGTGCAAACAAAAAATAATAATAAATGTAAGTCTCTGTCAGACGTCGACAACGACGGATGGGGGAATCTTTTTTTCAGTAACGATAATAAGAGAAACGTCATCGAACGTGTTCCGAATCCATTGCAATTAGAGCGATTTCGTTCGTGTACGATGAACGGTTTGTCGGACAAAGACGTAAACGTAATAACCCTATCGATGGTTACAAATGTACGACGGTATTATTAATAATAATAAATTTGTAGCAAATCTGTACAGAGCCAAATAAATCAAAAACTTTCATAAATCATCGAAGGATCCACGATCGAGTTGTTTCTTGTTTTCCATCTTCTGTCACAGACGAGATATACGTGTAGATCATTCACTTTATGAACTTACGTGGCCCAATCTGACTGCCATACCGACCTGAAAATTCGGAGGTGATTCTAGCGCCCTCTTCTCTTGTATGGCGGTCAGTTGAGAAACTATTCACTGAATTAGCATTGACGTAGGGTTTCGAGACCCCACAAAAATGGGCCGAAAAAATACATTGGATGAAAGATCTGTTAGTATACCTCGTATGGGACAATATTCTAGAATCTTTGATGAATCAATGAGACTCAAAACTAACCTAACGAAGAAGCTCTATATTCCTGATGACCTATGCAACGCGAATCGCAGCCAATTTGCTAATATTATTTAGATTTCAATTAATAATTGCGTTACCCAGCTAAGAGTGACACGATTATTAATTAAACGGTAAATAATATTACCCAGGTCTCACCACGAGGAGGTTGCTGCGAATGGAGACCCGCCCTAACCGATTCCCAACCACCCTCCATTAATAAAAATCTGTGACCAACAATCGTTGGTCGAAGAAGAAACAAACGAAAGTGCAATCAACGATGGAAACAATCAACGAAAGAATTTTTGAGAAAGAATTTGTTTCTAAATTCTCATCAACAAAACAGAGAAATAGACCAAAATATTGCCTGCCTGATATAATGATTAATATAGAAAATCAAACTCCTGCCTAACTATAAATCTAAATTCATTTACATCCTACCTATCTAATCATCTAACAAAATACATAGTAAATATATTCTTCCTTGTTGATCCTTCGACGAAGATTTCTTGAAACATACTGTTACATTCTACCTAACTATAAACCTAAATTATTAAAACATAAATTGAGCAATTTGAAACAAAATACATGAAATACATTCTTCTTTCTTCTTTCTTCTATCTTCTATTTATCCCACGATGATTTCCTGAAACACGAACAAAGCAATATCAAACAAAATTGTAAGAATTCTTAATTGTTACCTTTATAGACCTAAAACTTCCATAGGAATATGCTCTGTAACAGAAACTTGTTTAATAGATTAGTAAGAGAACAACACTGAATCTGTAAAACTACAAATACTACAACTACAGGCAAGTGCAGTGACAAAGTAAAAATAGTAGATAATATACGAGGTTACTTTGACTCTAAAATATATTTATCGCGAAATATCTTCTTGCACGTTAATCTAATGATATATTTTAATAAGTAAAGAAAGACTTTGGGTATCCTCGATATCGAAGATACCCAAAGTCATCGACTAAATTATGAAAATGAATTTAATTATCGAAGAATGTAAAGAACAATCGGAAGCTACTAATTTGACACTCGTTCTAAAGTTAATATAATTATAAGTATTATAAATGATATTAAAATCATGACTCTACTTTCGATCGATATTACGATATTTGTCATATTGAAAATTGCGGCGTGTAAAAGCATCGCACGCTTGAATAAAACGCGACGCGACACGTGCTCATAAGCGTGCAGTGAGTGTGGGTATCAGATTGATCCCCCCCGGCCTTGATTATCAGAAAAGCAAGTCGCGCCCCTGACCCACGTCTATCGGACCTCTCTACGTACAACCGCCGGGCCCTGGAGGACACACGGTCACAACAGGACCCGCTTAGTACTCGAGAACGGATATGGGTCAGGAACTCTCGCCGGAGGTCATTCTCTTTTCCGTATAAAGAGGAGAATATATGCGCTCGGCGAGGCCCCACTTAAGCTGAACCAAGCTGCACCGGGGTTGAAGCGGTAAGAGCTATCACACCTACTACACAGGCGTCACATGTTTCATTCTATCAAACAGAGGTGATCGAGCAAAACTCTCCGATCCTTTCGGTCGAGACATAATCTCGGAAAGCGAGAACCAGAGAACAAGCGAACGAGAGGAAGTTGTACTATTCATATATGTATATGTACTCATTATATATTCATTTTAAAATCAGTGTCAAATTAAAAATGAATCTACTATGACATTCGTCATCTTGAAAATCGCGGTGTGCAAGAAGATTATAATTTTAAACAAAAGATACTCAGATAAAACAATATACATGTGTTACTATTCACGGGTAACATTCATACCCGCGGTCACTACACTTGCCAAAGGTAGCACGTATACAACCAGTCGAAGCTTAAGTCTAGTTTAATTGTACCGAGCAATTATTTTGTTTAACCCCTTGCCTTACGATTTAATTTCCAACTGTGCGTGCCAAAAGGTCCAAGGTCCATAGGTCCGGTAGACTTATCACATCTTTGAGACGTCTTGTTCATGTTTGGCCCGGTAGACTTATCGCTTCTCTGAAACATCATTGTAAGCTGAGGTATTAAAAAGGAGGTTCTTAAACACTTAAAAATGATCTATCACCTAGCTAAAGGGAATTGAACAGAGTATATTGGCAATATGTTACAAGAATTTAAGCTGAAACGTAAAAATAAACATCTTATATTCATCAGTGTCATCGAAGCAAACATGGTATATGCATTGACACCATGTTATACGTGTCAAAAGGGGCATTGTTATATTCATCAGTGTCATCGAGACACCAAGTTGAATCAACACCAAACAATCAAACGAAATGGAAAAATCAAACAAAGTATCTCCGTAGAATGTTACGAGAATTCGAGCAAGAATATAATATTACATTATTATATCTTGCAATATTATACATATCAAAGCAGTCAGATACATAAATAAAGTTGAATTCACATCAAACAAACAAATAAAAATAATAAAATATAAATAAGTGGAGTGGACTTACTACTTGTTGTCAGTATATAGGGTAGTTACCACTGGATCAGCTGTAAAGTAAGAAAATATTCATATTATAGCAACGTCAGTTAGGCAAGCAAGGCAAAATCAGTTCATTGAAACGAAATTGGTATCAAACGATAGAATAGAAGAGGGGAGAGAATTTTTAAACAGTTCTTACCGTAGTCATCACCGTCCGGCACTGGTCAGTAGTGGTCAGTAGTGGTCAGTAGTGGCAGGAACGCGAGCCAGCACTGGTCAGTAGTGGTCAGTATTGGTCAGCCCTGGTCAGCCCTGGTCAGCCATGGTCAGCGCTGGCCAGTAGTGGTCAGCAGCGGCCAGCAGAGGTCCCCGGTTCACTTCAGGCGATTTGTACACTCCCGAATCCGCGACGCGACTGAAGAATTCTTCGCAGTGACCCTGCTTATACGTCTAAGGTGATGGAAGGGTGGGGAGACCAGTCAGAGCCAAAGCTGGAGTTAACAGTTAAGACTGGCTTGTCTACGAAGAAACTATTTCGATTGGTCCCACCTCTTGACCATTTCTGGCTCCTCACTGGAATGCTGACCTCGATGTCAACCTCACTGTTGACCACTAGTGACCATAAGCTAGTCATTGTTGATCATCGACCCATTAAAACCGATCCATTACGAAGATTAAAGCCTTTTTACGAGGATCCCCTTACAATTTGATGCATGATCTTTTTAACATTTTGTTCCACTTTGGAAGAGTGCATCTCCGCAACCAAAAATAATTGTTCCAGAACGATTTGAAATTTTTTGTGTTTTGCAGAAAAATTTCTGCACCTACCCCCGTCAACAATATTTTGAACAGGCTTGAAACACAGACGAGATATATGAATAGACCTTTGCGGTGTACGTATCAATGAAATACATCCTTAGGAATTTTAATAATCTTGAAATTTTTAAATACTCTTAATCGATTGATTTCTCCAATGAAATTAATCGATTAATGTCCAATGGTGGACCCTACAGCTTTAATTCCGTTAAAAAATAATAAAATTTATGTAATTTTATTTTCTGTCTCACTTCCTCTTGTGTTAATTTCTGAATCTGTTCATAACGTTGCGAGTGACACGAAAATGGTAATGGGGTCCCGGGACCCCAGAAACTTCGGCCGAAAAATTACATTACGTGAAAGGTTTATTCATATATCTCGTCTGTGCTTTTATGATCAACGATTGTTGGTCGAAGAAGCAATAAACGAAAGTGCAACCAACGAACGAGTTTTCTGAGAAAGAATTTGCCTGTAAATGCTAATCATCTAACAAAATACATAGAAAATACATATTTTGCCCCATTACCATTTTCGAGTCACTCGCAACGTTACCAACAGATTTAGAAATAAACACAAGAGGAAGTGAGACAGAAAATGAAATTACAGAAACTTTAATACTTTTTAACGGAATGAAAGCTGCATGGTACAGGATTAAGCATCAATCGATGAATTTTATTTGAGTCAGACTAAATCACAATTAATAATCAGGAACAGTCGTTTCAGGTTGCTTCGTGATTTCTGGACATTACTCTGCAAAAACAAACGCGAACAAATAATCGCAACACTAAAAACAATCGCGATCAAATTCATATTATTTGCAACTTGCAACTGACCGCCATTTTTAAGTCGGTATGGTAGTTAGTATGGACCACGAAAGCCCATAAGATGTAAAGTCTAACCTCAATTTGGACCCTCTCGAATAAAAATAGTGCCAAAAGAGCTAATTGTTCGTAAATATAAATTATCAATGTAGAGTGTTACTTACTGTTCGAAATGTTGAGAAATAGTTTAACAATAAAAATAAAAGATATCTATATTACAATTTTAATATATTTGTATTATCAAAACTGTACTTCTAACTTTTATTTTCAAGCGAATCGGCTCCGGTCCAGATGAAACATTTTGGTCGAGGCCTGTATAAATTGAACAATGGACACAATAAAATTTTACGAAGTATATAAAGTGGTAGGCGGGTGTAATAAAATCAACATTTTATTTTGAAAAATTGAGACATACACAGATGCGAAAACAATGGTAGCACATTGGTAGCACCGATAAATAGACGTTGAAACGAATTAACGTTAGATTTTAGAGTGACTACGCGTGGGCTAATAATCGCTCCTTCGATCGAGCAGTCAATTAGCAACGACGAGAATCGATTAATAATCGATTCTGGTAAAAAGAAATATCGCGAACATTTCTCTGTGTTGCTATATACTTGGCCGTAACAGCGAGTTTGATTTTTTTTTTTTTTTTTTGTTTCTCTTTTCTTGTTTTTTTTTTTTCTTTAATTCTTTTTGATAAATAGATCGAAGCACTCTTTTCTCGCACTCGTTATGTCTCCTCGTAAAAGGCAAGAAACTGAATGAACGAGAGCACGTTTCTTTGCCCCTCCGCCAGTCAATCATTACGACAATACATATATAATATCTAAATTGGAAAGGGTATATAGAAATACGCGTATCGATCCGCGATTCAAAGTTTTCTCTTCCCGTGTTTCTAGGCAAGAATCATTTAACTATATAAATTACCTGATCGCATCCTCGTCTGTTGCCTAAATCGTAGTGCAAACGAGCGGGACGAATAATAATTTGTCGCGTTCTCGTTAACAGTACGCCGTAACAAATTACTTTAGAAATACACCAGACGCGCAATTAAAACAATCTCACCCGCGATACGTCGTAATACAGACAGGTAAAAGGAACTATCAAGAACTTAGCGGACTAACATTCGTGGCCTCTGCGCAGCGCTAAATATATATCTATTCGATACCTTAAATTTATCTATCGATTCGTTTGTCGGCCACAGTGGCTTTGTCGAAGGATCAAAGAACAGTAACGCAACGAAGAACTGTCGAAACAGTCCAATAAATTGACATAACCTAGAAAAAAGTTGATCGTTCACGCGACGATTACAGGAAATTAAACATGTCGATAAACCACGAATCAGCGAACGTATTTCACGTTCAATCTTAGGTACAGTGACAATGACCGACTTTGTTCATTTTTTAATTCATGCTGGGTACACGTTTTACGATATCATTAACCTCTTACCAGTCCACGCGGACATTTTGCGTCCAGCAACGACTGGACTCGATTCAATTGCAAGAAAGCTTATTTTATTTTACAAACTGTTTTCATTTTTTGTTACATCGAAACAAGATTTCCAAATGACGCGTGAAAAAGAAAACGCTGACAATTTTTGCGAGACTGGCAAGAGGTTAGCTTAGGGTTATGGCGTTTCGATGCCAAATCAGACTTCAATTATCTGTAACTTCATTACCAGACAGTACACTATTCGAGTTTACAGCTGGACCCATAAATGTGCGTATGCTGTAGCACTGCAGGTGAAAAGCTAATGCCAAATTTTGGAAAAAAAAAAATTGATAAAAATATGTTCCGAGCTACCGTTAGAATATTAGACTTGAGCAATACATCTCTGATAAGGCGTTACATTCTAATGAAATATAACACTTGACGTAATTTTATACGTAATTAAGATTTTGATGTAACCTCTGTAAATAGATAGAGAAAATTCTTTTTTTTTTTATCCAAATTCGCTACATCTAACATCCAGTCACGTAGCTAGGACTTTGGGTTTTAAATAGTCCGCGATAATTATGTTTATTATAAGTTATACCTTCGACTTTTAAATAGCCCGCCTTCTCCCCCACTCCAATCCTATTTATTATCCATTGCTGGAATTTGATCAGCATTTATAAGCAATGATTTCAATTCTGAGGCAGTCTACCATAATCGTAATAATATTAGTCGATTATATTGTAGATTTGTTACGGCAAGAACCCCTCTTTTATATTCATTCTTCTTCTTACGCAATCGCTTCAATGTTTCGAGTCTTGCTAGCTTACGAGTACAAAAAGACTTTCTTTTCTTACCTCCTATTATAGACAATGAATAAAACGACACTCAATAAAAGGTAAATTGTGTGTTAATCGAGTTACATCGACTCTGAAAAGATGCTATATGCAATTTAATTGTTTGTGACTTGTAAAAATTTAAGTTTACATTATTTACGATTCTGCTTCTTGCGTCGTCAACTTTCTTGGTATCGCTAACGCGAGAAAACAGTTACAGTGAAGGTTGAATGGTTTCATAGGGCGAATTAAATGCGAAACGACCATTTCTCGAATATCATTTATTTTTCAGCATAAATGGTATCGTATAATGTTTCTTCGTACGAGATCATAATAACAATTTGTTTTTGTTTCTCACATAGACTTAAGACATCTTTCGAATACAACTTCAAAAACTATGCCGCGCATGCATACATATTTCATTGTTAAATTAACGATACTTTCGTGGTACGAGCAAATATATAAAACAATACAAAAATCATGTGAACCGCCATCAAAACCGAACGACAATTGCAGAATGAAACATGAAATTAATTGACACGACAACAAAATATCTATGCACGTGTACCATTAGCCTGTAAATTTGTTTAAAAACGAATTCTCTAATTTGACATAGAAACAGACAGGGCTCTATTCGAACGGATATCGTTAACCCCGACTAATGCACACAATTATCTCCGTTCCTCGTTTCCACTATGAAACCATTCGATCGCTTAATCTGTATCTATTTTTTTTTTTTTTTTTTTTTAATTCTTTCGCGATAAAAAGAATTAATTTCTGTCGGTCTACTTGGTATATAACAGCCATACAAATCTTATTGCAACCTGAATGAAATACATTTCTCAAAATATTTTCTGTATATCAGCTACATCTGACGAATGCACTACGCGTATATGTCTAAAGTAGACAACTATAATCCAAGGTAAAAGTGGCGAGCTTGTTTCGCAAGGATGTTTATAAATTCATGTTACATATTTTGCACACGCTTGAAACGCAACAAAACAAACAAAAAAGAATGCAAAACGTCACCCGTTCGTTACAGGAATTTTATGTCGTCTATCGATATAAATGCAAAACTTGGCACATTTTTTCGTCGAGGTTAGATTAGAAAATCGCCCTTGTCCCTCGACAATGAGCCTACGTTTTAGTTTCAGTTCAGTTTCGATCAGTCTAACATATAAAACGATGTAATAACAAAGACACAATAGAAATGTTCTCTTATTCGAAAATAGCTTTCGTTAATAGTCAGTGTAACGTACCAACGCGTTCGGTATGTTACCAACTAAACTCTATCGTTTATTAAAAACTATCAACGATGGGTGTAAAACTATAGGACACCCGTTTATTGCATTACTAATCCCTTTCATTTTTTGTTTATTTTGAAGAGTATTAAATGCATGCAAAATTTATACTGAAAATCTCCGAACACCCTTTATCTGTTTCATAGCGATGGCATTTAGGTGAGATAGACGCAACGTCAAACTGTAGAAAAACCAGTTTTTGCAGTACATCTCGGCGAAGTTGCTTTTATCATTACAAGAATAATATTCATCTAATTCTACTAGTCCAGAACACTTCGAATCTATAGAATCGTAAGAGATTCTGTCGTTGGCACTAGAAATTACTTCGCAGTGTTTCCTTTCCACCTAAGATTAACTGGATATAACTGGAGTCTCTGTTTCGATTAACTGGTGGAACTTATACATGCCCCTTTGGATGAGTTAATGATCTCTTCGGCCAAAATTTTAGATTCTGTCACTACTTGAGACATACTTCACGTTTGCATTGTAAGGAAATGTTTTTTTTTTCTTTTTTTCTTTTGAGCAACAAGGTATTGATGGCTTCATCATTGGCACTATCATTGTTTACCTTGATTGTTTCAATCAGCCTTACTCGTTTTTGTATGGCAAAGGTTTATGATTTATCTCTTTGATTCGTTAATCACCGATAGGAATATTATGAAAGTTGCTAGGAATTAGAATTTTTATACTGTTCAAGGTTTTCGAGTACAGCCATAGTTTACTTGGCTGTTCAACAGTTTTGAACTCCAGCGTACAATCTGTCATTAACCTCTAAAAAATTAACTCTTCTGTATCTCAAACTTTAAATAAAGCTTCAAACTCCAACAGTACACATTTTGTATAAATTATTTGGTGTGCATAAGGCTACAGAATTCAGAAATAATTGAGAATAAAGTATTTATTGTGCACACTAAGCAGACTTTGATTAACCTTCGATATTTAACATTGGAGCACTTTAGCCTCAAATTGAGGAGCGACTTAAAATAAGCGGGACACTTTAAAACTATATAATATATACTTTCATTCAGCCTATAAGACTACTCTCGATAGTTTCAACATGATTTAGATTTGAAAACGTTGAACAGTATTCAGCACGAACTTCACAGAAAGAATTTTCAAGTAAAGTTTGAATGAGACAACAGGATATCAATAGTGAAGTATTTTTGCCAAAAACAGTAGATATATCGATAGTCTTTAATAAGTAAATTCAACATTTTTCACTCTTCCTTTTTGGATTCTCGTAAAAAGTAGGCAATTCAAAATCTAAAATTAGAATTATATACAATCTAATAACACGAGCCTAACCTCCATTTACAAACTACTCAAGAAATAGGGACCGGTGGTATTAAAAGACAAACGTTAACCTCTATATTCTCATAATTTATAACAATTACACGAACCTCATCGTCAACGTGTTTATTTGATATAACTGACAAAGTCACATAACGTCGAGTCTATATTACTTCTATTACTTTAAATACTTTCCTAATTTTAGATTTTGATTTACTCGTCTCCGGGAAGAACCCACAAAGAACGGATCGATTAGAAAACATTGAATTGCCAAAAACTAGTAAAACAGTTTTTGTAAAACTTACGATCGTTGTCGAAAGTGTTCATTATTCGGTAGATCGTGTTCTCTCTAATTTTGTTTGGGACGCAGTTCCATTTCGTGGTACCATTTATGACACTCTCTGTTCCTTACTGTTCAGAGATCAATCGACTCCTTTAGTATCAGCCATGATGTATAGGCTGAGAGGAATGAAACCCGGTCCCGATAAAAAATTCTACGAAATCGCGAGAGCTCCTCGATGCCACGAGGTTAGTCCACGAGATCAGATACTCGAAGTGCTTCCCAGGCGAGTTTGGCTCCTTCTGATATATCGCGATCCGAGCAGATTACTTTCTTAACTTTCGAGGATCGTACGAGGTCTCTACTCTTTGGCACAAAGATCGCGGTATGTGAAAACGGTAGTAATTGGATTTGAGCTCGACGAAATATTCGGTAGAAACTCTACTTTCAGGGACACCGGGGCGCTAATCGGGTCACGGAGGTTTTTAATTATTTTTTTTTTTTCTTTTTCTTATTCCCACGAAGAGGTCTCGAACAGCGAATGGTTTGTTCGCGATCTACGCTTTTTGCCCTCTTCTCGACGCGTCCAGGCTGACTCGAAACCCCTACTAGATCCTAGAATACTCGCGATCGCGGATCGAGGCAGTCTGACGGCGTCGAAGAGACCTTTAATCTTTATATATATAATATATAATACGATAAAATTCAAAAAATACAATCGTAACTACGTTAAATCGAACGAAAGGACAACAAGATACTTATCGTCGTTACTTTCGAAAACGATCCGTCGAACTTCGGAGCTTCTCCGTCGAAAAGCTTTTTTTCATCGATATTAGGAATTCGTCTCGCGACACACTTAAAAATGCAAAAGGTCGACGCGAAGCTTTCGAACGGCTCATAAGGAGGATGGCAAGCCCTTCGGGTCGTTAATTTGGTTGAAACTTTGCACGTTTATAGATTTATAGAGGTTAGATTACTGCTTTGATTACAGATTAATTTCAAATAATTGCAGAATTCTGTTGTGGCTAATTGGGGCAACCATCCGAAGAGATTCCTATGGGAATTATGCTTTCCATATTTCTACGAATAAGTATCACTGTTGCAATCATCAATAATAAGTAAGTACTTTTTCTTACCCATTTATTCTGTGACGAATGGAGAAAGATTTTCTCATTATGTTTCATTTGTTTTCAGACACTGTTGACGAAGGTTTAATTATGGTTCTTCTTGCATAGTATTACTAATATTTTGTAATAAATACATATTAGTTAAGAAAGCGTAGAAAATAAATTTTTTTATTAATTAAAAATTACTCGTTACGGAACGGGACTCGAACCCCGGTCTCCAAGCGTGGGAATCTTCGAACGTTGCCTATAAACCACAACAGTAAACTGTAATTATTTTAAGTAAATCTGTAGTCAAGGCAATAATAAAGTTTTAATTATAAATATTTCAAGAATTATTGAGTAGTTGCCCTTATAATACCACATTTCCTTGAACCGAATAAATCTACAAACGTGCAAAGTTTCGACCAAATGATCCGAATGACTCGCACTCCCCTTGTCAGAATGAATTCGATATTACGATCCAGGAACCGCTGCGCCGATCACGAACACGTTCGTTGATTTCTTCGACGACCGATACAATTAATAAACATCTGACAGAGCAACAACCAAATCGAGGAGTTTCTTTTTGATCTATCCAAGCAATTTAGAGCGGACGTCGGTCACCATAGGAAACGCGTTCGATATGCTCGCCGTTGGTCGACAGACGTTCGTCGTTAAAAGGTTAACGACCCGCGGAAATTGCAACGCGTACCATCAAGCTTGTGGCCAACTACGGGTACACGATCAGACATATCTCTGAACCGAGTTTACAACGTAGTGTCAAGAGAGTCTAACCCGCCCATACATTTTGTTCGTTGCTCCACGCTAAAAGCGTCGTAGAATAAATCGACCGCTCGACGCGTCCTCGATTTGGCGAACCGTCATCCCTCAAAGACAATTCGCTTTCGTTTCTTCGCAATTTGCTACACGCTCCGAGGTCTTTCTCCAGCCGCTTCGCGGACGACAAGGTCGAGTAATGCGTCTCGTTAATTTAGTAAAAAAATTGAAGCGAATACGGATACGTTCATTCCTGCTCGACGCTGATGTCGACCGTTCTGACCCTGGACGAGTCGGTGGGAAGCAGCTGAAGACGCTCGGGCTCCACGTCGAGTATGATGATGCACATGAAGCTCTTCCCGGACGCCTGGTCGCGCGGATAGATGGTCACGGGGGCGAATTTGTCCACGGTGCCGTCGACGTAGGCGCGCAGCTTCCTGTATACTTGAGGGAAGTGTCTTCTGAGCGAGACGCCCCTCAGCTTCAGCTGTCCCTGGATATTCGTGAAGCTGATCTCCCTGATCCTCTTCGGGGTGTTCTGTCCGTTGTTACCCGGCAACGACGTCAGCACCAGCATCTCCGGCGACTCCATTTCCCTGGTGATGTTGCAGGGCGACGTGGACTGCTGTCTGCCCTGCGGGGAGGCGGACGACGAGGACGTGTGGTGTCTGCTAGCCGTGTCCAGGTGGATTTTGGCACACCTGGACACCAACTGTCGCTCCCACTTCACAGCGCCGCTGGTGGGCACCTCGCTGACCACGCACACGGCCACGTACAGCACCAGCCTGGTGTCCGGGTTGTACGACTTGCATAATCTGATCACCTCCGCGTACAGGTCCGCCCCCATCTCGCTGGCCAGCAGGTCCGACCATCTGACGTAGGTGGGCTCGCCCAGGTCCACGAAACCGTTCCCGATGAACTTCTCCGCGGCTTCGGGGCTAGAAAAGAAGCACTTGACGGCTCCGCGGCCGTGCGACGCGTAGCCGCGCTTCGCCAACGCTGAAATGTGCTTCAGCGTGATGGGATCCTCCTTGGCGGAGGACAGCACCTGCTTGCAGAGGCTGCCGGCCCTCGAGTGCAGACAGGTCCGTCGATGACGCTGCCAGTGAGCTTTCCTGCACTCCCTGGAGCAGTACAGGCAGGTGCAGTTGTGACAGCTCTTGTAGCTGCGCCTCGCCTCGGCCAGGGTGGTGGAGTTGGCGCACTTGTTGTTGCGGCAACGGACTATCTTCTCCGCGGCGTTCGCCGCCACCAGACCGTTGGACTCCTGGTTGTTGTCGAAGGAGACCCGCCGGTGGCGCAACGGCCCGCCCCTGGACTGCATCGACGTCGCTTTCGAGGGTATCGAGTCGCTGCCCTCGCTCTTCCGTCTCACCAGCTCACCCACGTAGTACGAGGCGCGCTCCTCGGTGGCTCCTTGCACGTCCATCACGCTTCTAGCGGACTCTGCGACATTTGGTAATCGTTGGAATTCGTCAGTACGTGGGCACAAATGGGTATCGGACGTACGCCTACGACGATCGTACCGGGTCTACCGCTTGGACAATGGCGACGATTTGTTAGTCGCTCTCGACGATTTGAAACGATTTTGTATCGGTAATTAGGAATCTGGTATTTTTATTTTAATGACCTACAGTGATGATTCTTAAAATGAACATTGCTGTGGGGTTGGTAGTGATTGTAAAGGAATCTGGTGTTTTAAAATGAGATTCGAGGGTGATTTTGAGTCTATGCTGAGTCAATGAAAGGACGAATTTAAAATGAACGTACAAGGTGTTCCGTATCTATAGGGTGAAAATTTAATGGGAGATACTAGAGGGCAAAATAAGACGAAAATTAAGAATACTAATTTGTTGATTGAGGCTTCGTTAGAAAGTTATTAACGTTTAAATTTCCGCCTGTAGAACAGCTGCGTGCGCACGACAGTGGTTCTCACTCGACACGAGGAACTCTACACACTGACGTATCGAACTTTAGACGTTAATAACTTTTTAACGAAGCCTCAATTAATAAATCTTGATTCTTGATTTTCGTCTTATTTTGGCCTCTAGAATCTCCCGTTAAATTTTTGCTATCTAGATGCCTAACACCCCGTATACAGCGGCGAATTTACTTGATATCGTCGATATGTACGCTTAAAAATAAAATGGACCATTTGGCGTGGCCTGGAGCGGCCATTTCGATTCCAAAGGTGATTACAGAAAGAATCGTTTCCATCGTGCTTTATCCACAAACGATATCGGTACGATCGAACGTATTGAAGCAGAATGGAACGTGACAATGTAAGCGATGCCGTGTATATGGAATGAAAATGATTACCGTGATGTTTCCCTGTGACTGCAGTGTTAGTATCAGACTCCCGATAAATATCGAAAAACAATGCGAGCCACGCGCTTATCGTGGTCGCGAGTCGGTTTATATGCGTGACTAGAAAACGGTTTACAATTTCCGTTCTTTTAATCACCCTCCCGAGTGCCTTTTAAGCTCGTAGTGCGGTTAACGAAACAACTGAAACCAAGTAGCAAGAAAAAAAAAAAAGAAAGAAAATGGGTAGAGAACGTAGACAAGAAACTTTGAAAAGGCCTTACGAATTTTTGGCATTTTTTAATCATTCGCGTTCTTCTGCGTTTTCGGGGCGGTCTCGGCGTCATAAATGTAATTAGCTCCGGGTCCCAGAATGGCTAGTTTCGGCACCGCTAAATTCGTCTCTGATCGATAAGCCTCGCATCGATACGTCTGTATTCAAAGGAGGCGAGATGCTACGATTCCGCCTCCCTGAACTTTAGACGCCGTTTCTTCTCTGCAAAGGTGTAAAAAAACGTAAGTGCAACTGAAAGTAAATAAGAAAACTAGAAACGTCGCGTTCGCGCGGTTTTTTTTTTTTTTTTTTTTTGTTTTTTTCTTCGTCGCCCGGACGAGTGTTGCTTTTCTGTCGCCGATCGTGGCTGAGAATGAGACAAGCGATCGAGGAAACACTGGGCTGGAGAGCGACGCGAACGGTGCAACGGGAAGATCCGTTTCGCGAAACGCAATTCCCGGTGCAACGTTCCGGCGGGGAAACGGCGTCAGCGTTTCAGTGTTTTTCTTCTTTGAATGAATCTTTGCATGCTTTTATACCTGTACCTTCCGTTCGTCGTCGATGGTGTCTCAGAGCTAATCGATCGAACTCTGCCTGGATTAATTTCTTTTTATTGATACACAACATATTTCGAAAAGAGATAGTCTTAAAAAACTTCGAAACATTTTTAAGGTAAATACAGGATGTTTGGTCATCCCTGGGAAAAATTTTAATGCGGGATTCTAGAGGCCAAAATAAGACGAAAATCAAGAATACCAATTTGTTTATGGAGGCTTTGTTAAAAAGTTATTAACGTTTAAAGTTCCGCCCCTACTGAATTTTTTTCTCGAAAATGCGCAGGATTTCGGGGGTACGTCTATTCACCAAAAATGATTGCAATTGACCCCCGCAATCGAAAATAATTTTTTCAGAACGATTTGAAATTTTTTTTTTCCATCGAAAAATTTCACATCTCGAATTTTTTTCTAGAAAGTGGGTAGGAATTCGGGGGTATGTCTGTTCACCAAAAATGATTGAAATTGTCCCCTGGAACCAAAAATAATTTTTTTAAAACGATTTCAAATTTTTTATTTTCGCCGAAAAAATCCACCTATTCGAATTTTTTTCTTGAAACTGAGTAGGATTTCGGGGGTATGTTTATTCACCAAAAATGACTGTAATTAACCTCCTTGGCTAAAAATAATTTTTTTAGAACGAGACGAAATTTTTTTTTCGCCGAAAAATTTGTCCACCTTCCTGATTTTTTTCCTTGGAAATGCTTAGGATTTCGGGGATATGTGTAATGACCAAAAATGATTGTAATTAACCCCTTCAACTAAAAATAATTTTTCCAGGACGATTTGAAATTTTTGAATTTAATTGTTAATAACTTTTTAACGAAGCCTCCATTAACAAATTGGTATTCTTGATTTTCGTCTTATTTTGGCCTGTAGAATCTCTAATTAAAATTTTTCGCAGGGGTGGCCGAACACTAATTTCCACAATAATTTCGAACCAATGCTTGGAACATTTGAGTATTAATTTTAAATAAAGTTATTTTCAAGTAAATTTTCCAATTCTTAAATAAATCACGTTGTTTTCGTTCGAACAAAAACAGTTTTACATTTGACTCGTGGCACAGTTCGATCGTTTAATTCCGGTGCACCCAGTACATCTAATACTTACCCGAAATACATTCGAAACGTAAATCATTTTTTAATGAACGAAATAAAACACCTTAAAACATAGAAAACTTAACGTGACAGATGAGAGTCATTGTCTTCTTTGTGCCAATATAAGTATGATACGTAAGTTCGGTGAAAATGTACACGAAACGCGAACACCGTCCTTCGTGATGAAGAAATGAGAACAAAATGGAGGATTCGTAGAAAAACTAGACACAAAGAAGAAGACAGAGAGAAGAGAAAGAGGTAAACGGGTGTGTACGTGAGGGGGCGAGTGGCGACGAGGCGAAGAGAAACAGAATCGGAGCGCATAAATTGGGGACGACATAATAAGACGCGCAGTGGTTTCACGATACAAATGTTAACATGTAAATCTCATGGCTGACGGTCGGAGAAACGATGTCGAAAACTGAAATAACAGAGGACGGAATCTCTCTACTAACTTCGTCATTAAATTTCTCCTCCGTTCCACAATTTTCCGAACCTTTACCCGCTCGCGGTAGTGTAACAATATTATCGGGCATTTTTTAAACGTTCCAGATATCTCCAGAATGAGATTCTTTCATAAATTAATGCCACGCGCGGATATCGTTGTATTCAAATTGCTACAAAATAGCGCTACGGTATGATGCAGCAAGGTTTTATTTAAATTCTTGGGAAACTATCGTAAAATAAAAGCGGTGAAGATAAAATCGACTCGACTGGGTCACGGGACATTTCACCCTCGCGTTTAATTTAATAAATTGAAACGAACTTATGGATGAAAAAATAATAGCGATGATCATGTTCACGATCGAGCTTATTCATCGTTGATTTCTAACTAAAACGTTACGGAGAAATTGGTAAAAAATTCTTTTTATTTTCCGAAGTGGGGTTAGAGTATCCAATATGGCCGCTGGTAATGTTCTCCGAAACATTAAAATTGATCGTTTTTGAGACGAATTATTATAGTTTTTAAATGTATGACACGCTAAAGGGCGTTAAAAAATTTTAAAAATTATGATAAGTCTGAAAACCAATGTGGGGTTAGAGTATCCAATATGGCCGCTCGTAATGTCCTCCGAAGCACTAAAATTGATCGTTCTTGAGACGAATTGTTATAGTTTTTAAACGTACGACACGCTACCGGGCGTTAAAAGAATATTAAAAATTCTAATCAAGTCTAACAAATCTATTGAATTTTGAGAATATAGTTAGGAACGAAGAAATAGCATGTTAACATTCGAAGTAATAGCACTGCGTGTAACACGAATAGACACACGCAGATACATACACATATAGAGTTGGTTTGGAAGTACATTAGGTTTTGAGCTCTCGAGTCCCTCGAGAGGATCTGCCTCAGAACGAAAACTTACATAGTCCTCCTACCTTGGAGGTCTTGGCGTAGGTCGCTGCAGCTCTTCCCGGCTTTCGCATTAGCCTGGCCGACGTTAGTTCGATGTCGCATGGTGGCGGATGTACCGGTTACGACTGGTCCTGGCCCAGGACTCGGGGTACGCGACGCGGATGGCAGCCCGAGGAGGGAGTCAAGGACGTCCTCCAGGGTCGTGGAGCCGGGGCTCGGTTTGTTCCGCAGAAGAGCTGCCGTCGCCATCGCCTCGTCCGTATCGCTCTGGCCCGATCCTAATCGGTTTCATGCAGGGGTCAAGAAAGAGACAGAGACGTCCGCGTCATCCTCTTGGCCTCGAACACGTTCGTTCGTTTTATCGTACGTGGTTTCATGTGTCGTCCTGTCTAATCGCGTGTGCTCGCGATCTTTATTGCTTTGTGCGACTCAACGCGTCGACTGCCATACGGAATTGTCCACTTTAGCTAGCAACACCCACAATTTCTTACGAACATCTCATCTTGAGAATTAATTTTTGAAGCTCCTGATTCAGTGAAAATCCTTATCACTTATAGCAGTCGATGCGTTGAAGTGCTTCAAGTAGCGGTCGATTAGGCTAACCGTGCGGTGGAGAACCAGTAAGTTGTGAGTTACAAGCTACAGGCGTCGCTCGGATAACTGAACACCTGAAATCATTCTCGTTGCTTGGTTCGAGAAAGACTTTGATTCTATGGAATCGATTTCGTTATAATTATAGATGGTCACTTGTCGAGGGTGAGATACGTTCAGTTATCCGGGTGGTACCGTGTTTTCTGTTTCCACTGCACGGTTGATGTTCGTTATGCTTTAGGGGAATCTTTTCCTCTTTTTGGGGTTGGATAGTGTCGTCCAGTTTGGTCATTTTGTATTTTGTATGGCTACAATCAGTCGGACTAAATTGAATCGTTTGTCAGTCTAATTTGTAACAAAATTATTAAATTGATCCACGAGGAAAGATTGATTACAATATTATTCCCATTAAATGTCACTTTTATCTTCTGTATTATTGTGATTTCTGTACCATTAAAGCTCGTATACCAGTTTCTCTTTTGGTGCAATAAAACCAGTCTCACGCGACTGATTATAGGTCCAATCCGTTTGTCCCAAAATTCGTAAATAACGCTAACAAATGAAAGTTTGCAGCAAAATGCAGACGAATGCAAGACCGTCGCGCGATACGTGGCAGCCGGAAGCGTAATTGCAAAGTACTGATCGATGCGAGTATCGTCGAAAAGCATTGGGTTTCGTCGTGTCGTGTATAGGCATCGATTGCTACTTGAAGCATTTTTTACTGAAAGCACGCGTGCGAGGCTCGACGTACGCGAAAATGTCGAAAAACCCCTCAGCCGACCATCAACGTTCTAGGGTGCTCGTCACGTGTTTCGTTGGGGTGTTAGTCGAGGATCCACTTACGCGCCACTTTTTTCGGTAGACGTCTATTACGGCCCCTCTCTACGCAAGCCACGTAGAACTGTTGCAGAGAGCACGACAGGAATTAAAGACGTCGACCGATTTCGTGGCGTTGCAGAGATCGTAAGTTGTCCGATGCTCGCGAACAAAGGGTCAAAGGATAGGTCGCTCTCATTGGCTCGACCTCAGTCCACGTGACTGGGAGGGGGCGGTACAATTCCATTCGTTGACAACTTACGATCTCTGCACAGTACACTGCAGTGTTCCAAAACGTCGATAAGATGACCCAATAATACAAACAATAGGAGACGATTTGAAAAACTCTCTGAGCGAAGGAAAGTTAGATTGTAATTTATTTTGAGGGCTGAATTACTTTGAACTTTAGATATTTGTTACTTTGAAAAATTGCGTGTTTGGCTAGGTATCAGGCGTTTTGGAACACTGACGTCCTTTAACGAACCCACGGACTTACAGCAACTGTCGACGTTCTTCCGTGCAAGTGTTCTTACCTCCATCAAGTCGAGTAGCCGGTGATCCGTCCGAAGTGTCCTCGGAACGTCGACAATTGCTATAAAGATCGTTTAACCGGAGGTATCCTCCGTCATTCCCCAAACGAGGCGTAACGAGCACCCCTATAAGTTTCCGTCCCAGCGAAAGTTTCGAACAAGACTCGAGGAAACTTCGAGACAGTTAGAACGCGAGGACGACAAACGTTCGACGAGATGCTAGTGTTGTCCTTGTGAAATGCTCTACACCAGGGTTTCCCAAAGTACCGTGCACCACCCGTGCTATTCCCCCCAAAGAAAAAACCCATCGAGACTCGAAACTTTCAACCAATTTTACTGTGATCAATTTTCCACGTATCAGATAACACAGAGTGGCGGGCGGTGAAAAGACATTGGGAATCCCCGGGTTCTACGCCGTCGGGACGTCCCCGACGAGTCGTGAAGGCACGCGGTATATACCTCTCTTGGACTTCTTCGTGCGTGGGTTCTTGGATGTACGGGATGATCGTGATAAATAAAAAAAGAATACAAAGAAAACTAAGAAAAAAAAAAAAAAATATAAGAAAGTGGGATGTGGGTGTAGGAATCGTAGACGCCCACGATTTGTCTTCACCTGTCGTCTACGTCTCTACGGTTTCTACTTTGTACTCTCTACGTGCAACTGCTACAGCTACCAGACGCTCACACGCGCTAGCCTAAGAGTTCTAGCGATACTTTCTCTCGGGCGGAGCTCTCACGAAAGCGCAGAAGGCAAAAAACGAAGCTGAAAAACGGTACTCTTTGAACCTGGCGTTTACCAGATATTTTTACAGGGGTGGCCAGCCTCGTGTCTCTTTTTTGCCGGAAGAAACGGCGGAACGGTTTCCTTCTTTTCTTTTGTTTTCACCCCCGTTTCACGCTCTATTTTCCGTGCTGGAAGTATCGGCCCGACGGGTGCGCGCGCATGCGCACACGCGCCACGCGGATGCAAAAGCCACGGGTGGAAAATAAAAATCAAAAGACTCGGGGGTTTCAGAGTGTGTGTGTGTGAGAGGGGGGCAGAGAGAAAGAGAGAAAAAGAGAAAGAGAGAAAGAGAGAGAAAGAGAGAGAAAGAAAGACGAAAGCGGGCGAAACAAATATAGCACTTACCGTGACGACACAAGCAGAACGCATCAACCAAATTAATCGACACGCGTACGCATGGATACTCGACTAGAGAGATACTGCAAAGTGGGGGGTGCGGGTGTTTAGGGGGGTGGTATACTCGAATCAACTGGAGGCCACACGCGTTACGATTTATCGAGTGGTCGAGTCGTACGACGGACTGCAACGATATCTGTCGACTGTTAGGGTCACTTTCTGTAAGAAGGGGGTGGCTTTTGCGCTACAAGTTAATCCTTTTTGCGAATCATATTTACCCTTTGCGTTATAAGTTTATCTTTTTACATGTCATGTTCCACGTTTTGCAATCAAGTGTCGAGAAATTTATTTAATTTAATATTTCATATTAGGGGCTGTACGTTATAAACAATTTTGCAACACATTTAAAATGGTCGCTTGATTTGACGTTTATGGAAGCTACACTTGATGGCCAGAAGGAATGTCGAAGAAAAAATTACATTAACCCTGGAATACTATAGTGGAGTATTGTATTTCTTGTTCATTTTTAACTATTTATGTTAACAAAATGATTCTTCTGATCATCTACATCCTGTTTTTGATTATTTTTATGGCTGGGGTATACAGTTCCCCAGTATAGCGTTGGCAAGATTACGCGAACGTGTAGAATTGCAGGGTTAAAATCGTGCACAGTGCTGTTGTTTCTCTGGCCACCAAAATAACCATAAACGCGTTTCGGTTATGACAACGTCGTACGACAGCCACGCAAAACAAACGCGTCACGATCGTCGTTCCAAGAAACTTATCTAACGATAAATCGATACGAATATGGCCCCTCGAAGGGAGAAAATAGAGTCAGATAAAAGGGGGGTTGGGGGTGTTGGATAAGAGATAGAAAACGGCGAAAGAAGATTACCAGAGAAGAATTGCCGAACGTAGGAGAAAGGAACGTCAACGCAAACAACGCAAAGGGTAATGACAATAATTTATTGTTGTCAAAGGGTAATTACGCTCTACAAAGAAATGATAAATCGTTGGTGTGTCCGAACAATAAGTACGGAATTACTTAAGAAAGGCAAAAGCACCGGCACGCAGAACCGTCCGGCACGAAAAGAGAAATAGAGACAGACAGATAGATAAAAGTGTGTTGTATTATAATGTGCGTGTGGGAGAGACGCGAATGAAACACAAACGAAATGACCCGGTGTGTGATCGATCGTAGCGGATGCAACTTTCACATATCGTGGGCTCAAGGCACAACGAGCAGACGTAAAGAAAAAGAAAAGGAAAAAAGAGAGAAAGAGAGAGAGAGAGAGAGAAAAGAAAAAAAAACAAAACGCAGAAATAACTTAAGAGTACGCTGTGCTTACCGACGGTTCTGCGAACACTGCACTCGTAATTAAATGAGTAACAATAATAATGGCATAATAATCATAATAATAATAACAATAATAATAATAATCATAATTAATAATAATTAATCATAATAATAATAATAATAATATCAACGCGTTTTGCAATAATGAACGGTGTTGTATACGAATCGTACGTAACTGTTTTTTTCGTATGTATACACATATATATATATATATATATATATATATATAGAGAGAGAGAGAGATATTTGTAAATTTATATATGTATAGACCGAGCTAGCTATAGTTAAAATATAAACGCGGATAACTTTACAGTAAACATACATGAACGCAAAAAAGTTAAGACTACTGGTAAAAGTAAAGGGGGTGGAGGGTGGGACTAAATCTGAGACGGGAGTTTCGCAACAAAGATACGTGGAGAGCTAAGAAGGGACGTATACTCCGGGAGCAGTTGAGTGGTTGGGTGGTTGGTGGGGGGCTTCACGGGGGTCTTCCAACGACGAGGGGGCGGTCGTAACAAAGTAACAAAGTTTACTACAAAATATTCTCGTGACGAAAATTAATATAAAAAAAAAAGAAAAAAAAAAAAATAGTAGAAAGTGGAACTCATAATCGTGGTGTGTGTGTGTGTGTGTGTGTAAAAACGAACGAGGCTTACAAAAAGTCTTACCGGGAGGTCTCTCGACGCGCCCTGGCCACCCTCCCGTGGAAGGGTGGCTGAACGACGTCGGGAGATCGCCCGTGGAATGACGAAATATACGCGACGTCGACGGCGTATCCAGGAAATCTCGTTTCTTTCCGTCTCTTTCGATCGTTGGTTCCACGACGCTCTTTGGAAACGCGAACCTCTGGACGCGGTCGTCGACGTACGACGGAGAAATTTCAAGACAGAGCGCGTGTAGAACAGTGTGTGGACTTCTTTTCCAGCTTTTAATTACCCTCCTGGTTGTGTGCTTGAGTCTCGTTTTCGGTAACCGAAATCTGTGTGTGTGTGCGCGCGCGCGCGTGAAACTCGTCCAGACCCTCGGAGCAGTTCCGGACACGTTTTACCCGGGTTTTTCGCGACGTTCCGCGTGCAGGCAAGCTGACGAAAACGACAAACGAGAGGACTCTCGTGATCGCGAACGGAAAAGCTAAAAAGGTTTGTACGAAAGGAGAGCGCGAGGCAAACGCGATTACCATTTGTCGGCCCTCGAACTTCGTACCTACACCGAACAATGAAAGCACTGCGAGTGAACATCCCCACAGAAGGGTCTCATAAGCGACAGAAGATTACAGGCTATGCGGATGCTAAATTACACAAGGCTAAATCGTACGAGGTTTTGATTCATCCTTTCTGCAAGAAGATGACCGCGCGAGTCTTACATCCGACCGTGTACGGTCGATCGTTAATATTCGTTCTTCGTATCCGTTTTTATACATTTAAATAGTATACTTTGTCACCCTCGTACCTGTATAAAAATTAATAATATACGTGGATCATTCCATTTGCGACGGAATAGCCATCGATTAATCTTTTAGCCTTGAACGTCACTATACATACGAGATAATTGCACATGCATAATTCAAAGAGTAAAATTATTCGTAGGTGAAGTCTTTCCAAGTATTTTTTTTACCTCTAATGTCATTTTGGTACACTTTGGAAAACAATATACGATTTTTTTTTAAATATAATCAAGCATAAATAATCCAATCATAAATATTGTTATCCAATATTTCTTTTTAAATTTGTGCAATTACGCATTGCAATTTTTTTTTATATTATTATAGAAAAATATACTTCATATATTAATATTTTTTAATTATTGCTCCCGAAGAAGACCAAAATATAAATTGTGGAAAGATCTCGCCTGGCAATAATTTTCTGTTTACACCAACTAATAAATTAAATTTGTATTTCAAAGAGCAAAAAGCTACCTTTACAAATACAATAACGTAACGCGAATACTTGTCAAAAAATATCTACTTTATCCTGCAACCATAACAACTTCTCTGTAACCATACTAATTCAACAACATCTTTCAACAACACCTTACACCGTCCAAAAAACATTCCAAATAGGAAAATTTTTAATCACTAGTAATTATCTTCTTTTTTTTTTTTGTGGCATTTTCAGAGTCACTTATTTATACGATGCAATAGAAAAGCGACCAAAGTGCGTAAGAAGTAGCGCAATAGCGAGAACCGTGAAAAAGTATATAAAGAGTGCAAAAAAAGCTGCGTATAATGTACAAGGGCAGTAGATCTTCCAACGTTTGATCGATTCTCACGATTTTCGACGCTTTCGTGCGACTCTCGTGTACGCGATCGTCATACATATACGAATATATATATATACACACGCGAATATAGGGAAATAATCAGAAGAACGAACGTCGATCCACGAAAGTAATTTACTTTCGATCTCACCATCGCGACAAGGTACTGAAATAATTGCTCCTCCGATCGAGATTCTCGATACAACGAAGATCGTTCGAAACCGCGAAAACAATCACGTGGAAACTGTGAGATCACGACGCTCGTGACGAAAAACAGTTGCGAGATGTCGATTGGAAACGATCCCAGATCAGAAACGCGTACGATGACGAACGTGACAAACACGGCCCGTGGCAGACCAGTCTCGAAAATGCACGTCAGAGGAAGAAGCTCTTCCAAGAAGATCGTTCACTGCTCCCTGCCAAATTGCGAGAATAATCGCTCGGGATTTCCAAACAGCTCCGACGAACTTACCATTCGTGAGCAGAAGACGTCAAGAGGACGCATAAACACTGAAACAATTCATATTATTGCGATAATATCCTATGTTCGTAATTTTGGGAGTCGAGGGACTGAAGAAATTCACTTTCATCAGTCGGAAGATATGAAAGAACGTCCCTAAAAATTGCCTAGAAGCGTTCATTTAACCCCTTGAGGAGCAAACCATGTGAAATTTTTGAAAAATCTCAAATTCGCACTACGATATCGAAAGTAACATCAGATGAGTCGTGATACGTTTAATAATTCGTATTCGTCACAATTTTGTCTTGTGTCAAGGGGTTAAGAGCAGATCGAAGATACCAGGACTTTTCTGAAAGAACGATTGCTATAATAAACATCGTCGAACTCTCGTACCAGTCAGAACCAAAGACGTAATAAAGTGCAGTAATTCCCACTTCCATCTCTGAGTATAGCTTACAGTTAAAGTGAGTATTTCTGTATTTTTCATCGTATCTTTACGGGAAGTATTACCAACGAATCGGCGACGTTCTCCCGATGAAAACGAGTCCAAACACGATCTAGTTCGTTCAAAGTCTTGTACTTCCTGCAACGGTGGCGCCACCATTGCGCGTCAAACGTCCGCAATTAAAAGTGATCGGAACGAGGTCGTGTTTGGGCTCATTTTAATCAGAAAAAGCTCAGCGATCTATCGATAATGTGCTAGCGTAGATACGACGAATAATATAAAAATTTGAAGACTTGTAAAGTTGAAAGTGGGGATTACCATAGCCACGAAGAATCGTCTCTAGACGCGATTCGAATCGTCTTCGTCAGCTTGGGCCTAGCAAATCGGCGGATGAACGACGGGTCGAGGGATCGTCTGGTATCGTGGGAACGCGATCGAGCATGTGTTCCGTTCCTGGAGGATGTTCGCGACCGTGCGTGTTCTCTTGTTCGATCTCTTTTGTTTTTGGCTTTCCGCTAGGCGAGCAGCAACTCACCGCGGTGATGGCGTTGCTGTTGCTGGGGTTGCTGTTGATGATGAAGCTGACGATGATGATGATGGGGATGGTGGTGGTGATAATTGAGCGACGAGGACGGCGACGGGCATAGACTGCTGCCGCCACCCAGTTGCTGTTGTTGTTGCTGTTGCTGTTGCTGTAGCTGCACGTCGTCGCGGGTCGGCGTCAGGTCCAAGAACAGACCGGAAGTCGCTGAATCGATGCAACTGCAGGACTCAGTGCCGGTGGCGTTGCAGCCTGGACAGCAGTCGGTCTCCGTGGCCAAACTCATCGGCGTCTCCGGCGAATCCACGGGTCTCGTGCCAACGAACGAGCTCTCCATCCAACACAGCTTCACGCTCCCTTCGAGGACAAGTTTCATTTCATTAGACACACACATTCATGAGGAACTCGCCACCGACGTTCTCCTCGAACATCCGTCACGGTTCCGCGACTCCGCGCAGCGATTCGTCAACAAAGAGAGAACGTGGCGAACGCGATCTCGGTCTACGGTTACGCAACATGGCCGCGGATTATTCGTGGATACACGTTCTCTATCAAGGAATCGCTAACCAAGTTCGCGGCGACGTCCGAAGCTCACACCCGAGGCGTCGATCGATAGGTTCTCTGTCGAGGCGACGCGCGTCACAGCGATTAATTCGTATTAGTGAAGCTCTAATACGGAAAATATTAATTACAATAAAATAAAAAAATAAAAAACGCAAACAAGCTGACGTTACAGGCTCGAAAATGTGCAGACCGGATATATCGGCATACGGGCACACGTTAGTGACAGATTGCACGTCACAGCACAGTTAGTTAGTAAATGCTCGATAGCGAAACAAAGCTTCCGAATCCGAACACCATTATAACGCCCGGTGAACCACATGTGGGTCACGACGAGATCCCTACCCGGGAGCACGCCGAATATAGAACGAACGTGGGCTCTATCGACAGTCTCGTATACTTTTTAACCCTTTTACGGGTCGGACCGAATCTGGAACGTTCAGCTTTTCGTTCCTAGGCTCACGTTTACCGAATGCAAACACCGAGTGTGAAAGACGACGAAAAGCTAAATACTCTCTTTTCTAGTCATTACAGATCTAGCAACGTGTAAAATTGTATAATTACGTTTTGAGTTCGTCTTACAACGCGATGAGAAAAGAAATACGTGGTTCTAATCGAGAACATTCTGTTCCACGGATCTCCGAATGTTTCGATATATGCAAAAATTTGTGCAAACTTTACGCTAACACTGTATCGTACGTTGGATACGAACACAGAAAATTTACACTTTTCGTTTGCATCAGAGACAAGTTTAATGCAAGACTACATGTTTAACCGTTAGCTAGGCGATGTTAGGCACCTTTCCAGACTACTCCAGGTAAGGGGAGCGAACCGTGTCGATGGCATCGACGACGACGATCGTCGCGAAGTGACCAAGCCAGCCACGTGTTATCTTCACGCTGTTCTCTCGATGTTTGTTTTAATTTCGTCTTAAGGTCGTCCCGAGTGGCGGGTAAGTTCGCCCGCACCGAAAAGCGTACGGAGACAGAGGGGTGTGATTTAAACTTCAGGGTAATCTATTTCGGTGCCACGGCGACCACAGGGGCTACAAGGCTATCGAAATAGCAACCAGTCGCCTCTGCATACTTTCGGCGAGACTCTCGTGATTAAAGACGAAGGTAGAGGCGAAGACGAGCGACCCGGAGGTTCGTGACAGAGTCGCGAAACAGAGGAGGATCCTTCTCTCTGCCCTTTCTCGTTCAGCGGGCATTTTTCTTCCTTTCTTCCCTGGGATTCGACCTCGAGCGAATATCTATGGTCTGGAAATACGGATTTTTGGTGTCAAGGTTGTGTTAAACGCACTTCAGGAACCCGATGTGTCTCGCTTGACAAACTTGCCACCGACGATCGCAGGGGAGGTCCTCCGTTAGAGAGCAGTGGTTTTCTTATAACTTTGTTATCCATGGCGACCCCCAAAGGGACCTCTGGGGGGCTCGAAACTTGCACGAGTCACGGCTAAATCGATCGATCCGAATTTAAAATAATTCAAACTCGTAATTCTCTCTCCATATTTCTAAGGAAATGCGTTATTTCTTTTTTGTTTTTTATTTATTTAACACGTTAATGGTCAACGTTCGATTAAAGACCCGATAGAGAGGTACAAATGTAAACAACAAATAACATAATAAGGCCAACAATACGCGGCGTCTCCAAGCGGTAACCCATCCTAAACTTGACCACGTCCAATGCAGCTGCACTTCCATGACCGCACGAGAATCGATGCTCCCAACGTGCCACGACCGCTGACATTTTTAAATTCATTATCGAATAACAAGCGTTGCAAATCACAAAGTGGTAATCGTTTAAGGTAACATTTGTGGAATAAGTTTGGTGTGACAGTGTATCTCTGAGAAGCTCTGTATCGTACTTAAAATATAACAATAGAACGACCGGAGTATCCAATAACGTTATTCGAAGCTTTCTCGCGGCGTCAATTTGCACGATTACTCGGGGTCATCGACGGGTTCAGGTGGATCACGAAACGGAAAAGAACGGTGGTATATCGCGCGTAAACGAAGGGACCGTGATACTCTGAAAAGATACGGACGGTATTGCGAGCACGTTCAAGTGCAGCATTCGCAGAATGAATGGGGAATCCTGGCGTGTACGGGGATACTAGTTTTGCCATCGTGAAAGGCCTGGTTCGTTGAATGGGTGGGGGGGTGGTCGGTCTTTGAAAGCGATTTTCGTTAGTAAACAGAACGACGAACAGAGACAGCGAACTGGTAGGTGCTTTCGACTAGCGACAGAGACGAGTAGAACAACAGAGAGTAGGTAGATGTATAGAAAACTATTTTACAAACATTCCGTCGCAGATGAGATAAATAGTATGTTGTGTAATATATCAGAGACAAACAGAAGAAGAGAAGGCGTCTAGGCCGCAGAGCGGATGCAGAGACATAGAGAACACATCAAGATGGAAAACTCAAAATTACCTTTCTCGTAGAGAGTAAAAGTGGTGATGGTTGTGGTGGTGGTGGTGGGATGTTTTTTGGCATGGGTTGTTTAGTGCTCACCTCTGGGGCTGGTTGACCTTGCTCCGCCCCTGTCGTCCCAGTCTTCGGGTCGAGGGCGAGGCGACAGCCTGCCACCTCCAGCAACCTCCTGACCGCTTTGCACGTAGTGCACAATGGCCGAGGTTACTTCCTTTATCGAGTTCCTTACTTCTAGCTGCTGATTCGTTGTCTGCTGCTGCTGCTGCTGTTGTTGTTGCTGCTGCTGTTGCTGCTGTTAAAGAGAACGACAGTTTTACTTTAACGTTAGCCCTTGCACAATCCACGCTCCGGAGTTCGCAAGTTCTACCTCGATTTGTTAGGAAATGTGGCGATGCTTTGCAAAATGGGAATTCTATTCTATTTTTCTGGGGCATTCTTTGCATTTTCAAACTTCAAAATCCTCCAATCCGTTCAGAAGTTATGATGTTTTAAACGTAAGCATGAAACTTTAGGGGAATCATTCATTCATGGTCAGACATTATATATTCGGTAAGGAATTTTTTTTCTCGAAAGTCAGTAGGATTTCGAGGGTATGTGTAATGACCAAAAATGATTGCAATTAACCCCCACAACCGAAAATAATTTTTCCAAAACGATTTGAAATTTTTTTTTTCGTCGAAAAATTTTACACATTCTCGAATTTTTTTCTCGAAAATGCGCAGGATTTCGAGGGTATGTCTATTCACCAAAAATGATTGTAATTGACCTTCGCAACCGAAAATAATTTTTCCAAAACGATTTGAAATTTTTTTTTTCGTCGAAAAATTTTACACATTCTCGAATTTTTTTCTCGAAAATGCGCAGGATTTCGAGGGTATGTCTATTCACCAAAAATGATTGTAATTGACCCTCGCAACCGAAAATAATTTTTCCAGATCGATATAAAATTTTTTTTTTCGGTCGAAAAATTCACACCTCGAATTTTTTTCTAGAAAGTGGGTAGGATTTCGGGGGTATGTGTATTGACCAAAAATGATTGTAATTGACCCTCGCAACCGAAAATAATTTTTCCAGAACGATTTGAAATTTTTTTTTTTCGGTCGAAAAATTCACACCTTCTCGAATTTTTTTCTAGAAAGTGGGTAGGATTTCGAGGGTATGTGTGTTGACCAAAAATGATTGCAATTGACCCTTGCAACTAAAAATAATTTTTTTGGAACGACTTGAAACTTTTCAATTTTACCGAAACTCTATTTTCTCTATTGAGGGAAATTTCATCCTAAGATCATATTAATTTTTTTCTAAATTATCCCTGTCTTTCACAAGCGACGACAGTGGTTCATATTTTTTGTACAAGCATGTGGAGCTGAATTATTCTTCGTGACACATGGGGTTTGGTACAGAACTCTCCACTCGTTTAAAGTCTTAAAGGGGGTCACAGTATGCGAGGACTTTTAAAATATTTAGATACGGTATACACCTCGGGTCAAACTCGAGTACACAGCTAATTTATTTCTCGCAAAATATGTGCCTCGCCGTGCGTTACAAACTCGCAGTTAATAGATTACTTGCACTTTAGAACGTTGCAGTTTATCGAATTCCGTTACCTAAAATTATATTACACCGTCCTGGTGCTCTTGAGTTTCCATTTTCCTACAAAAAAATACCACCCTTCGGGATTAATTGTATCTCTTTCAGTGATTATATAATAAATCTAGATCTTCGTGGTAAACATAACGGACAGCCTGTTAAAATCGAAAGTGAAGCGGATAGTAAAATACACAATTTTAAAAATAATATTTAAGGTATTTTGACCCATAGCCACCAGGAATATTCTACAAACAAACCGATCGATGAAAGGTTGTATGAAAAATAGCTACGTATATTTTGCTTCCGCCTAAGAGGATTTAAAGTCAGAGTAAATCGAACCGGAAGCTGCCCGGAATAGGGAAAATAATTATAGCTTAAAGGTACAAATAAGTTTATAATATAATGGAACGCTGATATATAGTTCGCAGCCGGCGTTGTTGTCCGTTTAAAATTGTTCGAAAATTCGGAAAGCGAAGTTTGGCCTCGAACTGATCGCGGCCATGACTGACCCCTGCCCCGCCCACGTTCTCCTCGCTTTCCTCTTTGTCCAATTTATTTTTAATTTGCGCAGACAGCGCGCAAATGCTCCGAGGTTTCTATAATTAGAAATTCTGGCAGAAATCCTCGTCCTGGCGTCTCGTGGCCTTTGCAACCCGCGACAAATTGACTGTTACCCGAAGCGCCCTCCGGAGAGGTTGAACTGCCCACCGTTTTCCCTCGACTTCGCGAACTATTTCGTTACAAACGAACCGTGTTCCGCAAAAATATCCCCTTTCGCGAATCCGCGTTTCGTATTATCGTTAGAACTCATAAAAATATACAGTTACAAAAGAAAACTACGAGCTGGAGCATTGGATTCCGTTTCAATTTTAAATTGCAGATGGTTTCAAATATCTAAATATCAAACGAAGATCAGTATCTTGCAGAAAATATTTTTCTTTTAAGATTATTTTTTCAGTGTAGCTGATATTAACACTTTGATGAAATACTATACAGGGTGTACGACGACCCCTGGAAAAATTTTAATGTGGAATTCTAGAGACCAAAATAAGATGAAAATGAAGAATAAAAATTTATTGATGAAGGCTTCGTTAAAAAGTTATTAACGTTTAAAGTTCCGGCTGTAGAACGGCAATTTGTCCACCTACTCGAATTTTTTTCTCGAAAATGCGCAGGATTTCGGGGGTATGTCTATTCACCAAAAATGATTGTAATTCACCCCCGCAACTAAAAATAATTTTTTTGGAACGATTTGAAATTTTTTTTCCCGTCGAAAAATTTCACACCTTCTCGAATTTTTTTCTAGAAAGTGGGTAGGATTTCGGGGATATGTGTAATGACAAAAAATGATTGTAATTGACCCCCCTAACTAAAAATAATTTTTCCAGAACGATTTGAAATATTTTAATTTAATTGTTAATAACTTTTTAACGAAGCCTCAAACGAAATATTGATATTCTTGATTTTTGTCTTATTTTGGCTTCTACAATCTCTCAAGGTTGGCCGAGTACCCTGTATATTAATTTGCTTAACTGTTTCAATTGTAAGCTTCAAACAAAAATTTTAAGTTTTGTACGAAGTTTAATTTTAATTTTAATGGAACGTACTCTGATCAGACTTATACTTTATAAGCAATTTTAATTACTCGTGGCATTATTGTTGTACGAATTCTCTTCCATTCTGTCGATGGAACAGGCTTGGAGAAGCATTCGGAGTAATTTAATTTCACGGGAGTATTTGCAGCAACACAAAAGCTATAGATTTTAAATGGAAATTAGAGCGTTCGTAGCGACGTATCGACTCTCTTCGTAATTTCAGCCATGTACGTTATTACTTAATCGAAAAAGTTTCGAATAGAATGTGTCGAGATTCGCGAGAACTTTCGGAACACGTGAGTAGCTTCCCACAGTTTCGTTTAAAATTTTCCAACTGTGTCACTTTGATCGCCGTTGCGGCGAACTTAATATTCCTTTCGCGTAATTGAAAATGTCTGGCATCTAATATTTGCTTGATAAAGGTTAACCGTCGCTATATGCAAACTAAACAGTATCACTTTTGCATATTTATAGTGTAGGAAGGTGATGCTTTTCGATACTAACCTTGTTTGCTGCTTGCAACTGGGGAAGAATACCCTGAGCAAGACGTTCTGCCGGTGTTCGTGGATTTGTCAATCGTTCTTGCGAACGCCATCCCAAGTACGGCTGTCGATGATTGAACGACGACCTCGCCGAACTTGCTGGCGAACTTCCGGCGCTGTTCAGCAGACTGGTACTCCATCTCGAGAATACAGGTGGTGTGGGACTTGGACTTAGAAGGGCACCTGAACAGATCCAACAGGAACGTTCGTTAACGTCCACGATAGCTGTTTTAACCTCTTCCGGGCCCAAACGCGGTAAACAGCCCAAAAATGATGCTACATTGCTTCGTAACAGAGGTTATAAGAATCGTGACCAACACTTTCGACGTATCGATAGGAACTAAAACTCAATCACGATCGTGATTTGTTGTCCTCGAGCCTGGCTCGTGTATGTTACGGCCGACTTTCTGTTCGCGAGTCTGGCTGGTGACATTCATGTTTGAGGCCAAAATCTTCATCACGAGTCAGACTCGTTAAAGCACGGGAAGAGGTTAAAAACAAATATTTCATATAAAAACATGTCGACGATTATAATGTAGTCGAAAACATCAGTTCTCATCTGATCATCCAAGTGCAGCTGCATTGGTCGCGGTCAGCTGCAGGATGGGTGACCGCTTGGATACACTGCAGTTATATTATTGTTCATTTTTAAATTGTTTATATTACATTCATAGTTTAGTACTTTAGTTTATATTATGTTTGTATTAATATTGTTAAAAAAAACTATAAATAATAAATAACAAGTTGTTTCGATATTAGCTACTCTGCCATCCAGCAGTCTTCTTCACGAAAAAATTCAGCAATTTTCTGGGGAATTTGCAGTTATATGCAATTGTGCTTTAACACTTCTGCACCGTCATGCACAGATGACCGACACTAATGTTTACTGTGACATCGTTTCTCAAGAGGCGACATAAAAATTCGATTAAAGTTGTTAAGTAGAAATCCAACGGATGGGAGAACTTTCAATAAAATTGGCCGAAATAATGGTACTCGAGAAAGTACAAATTATGAAAAAATCTGGAGCCAAGACTTTTATGAAATCGGCTTGGCAGACAGTGTTGATAAATATTTCTGTCTTTAGTCCATTTGTTGAACGACGAAGCAGTTGTTCATTAATTTGTATATTTTGTATTCTAATTATAAGCAAAGTTTGTACTATGAATTCCAGAACACGCTATAGTTTCACGTTTGAGGCATAAGATACCGCGATACCACGTTGGAATCTTGACTCGTTTTACAGCCTGTGCGTTACACGATCCGTCTTTGAAATCGATTACGGTAGCAGACTTTGATCGACGATTTTGTAAGTCGAGCGATAACTTGCTGGAGGAATAAAAGCCCGTAAACTGTCCAACGCTGACACAGTGACCGGACGCTAATAAGTTTCTGACAATGCATCATCTTCCATCTTTCGCATAAATAATTTTTAAAACATGAAACAGTTATCTTCCGGAAAAAGATCGACAAGAATTTTAATTCAAAACTAACCCGTTCAAACAATTATTTACACGGACACAAAGTTATGAATTTTACCCCAAAACACCCCCGCATCTACATTCGAATGATCACTAAATTTCAGACCAATAAAAAAACTTTTCCAATAAAAAATACTCAGCAATCAATCGTCAAGAAATTGCAACAGTAAAAATTACCAAAAAATTTGTTATTCAATAAAAAATCAAGGTCACTCCAATTTTTTTTATAGAAAATGTATACTTTTCTATACATCGATCGACGTGTCTTTGTATTCTCTCTAACAAAGTATCAACGCTCACAGGTCGAAAATTGATCAGTTTGGAAGTTACGTACGTCAACAGCGAAGTCACGTACGCGTGACAACGGCCGCGAAAGCGTTAAGAATCGCGAGTCCACCCCCTCAAACGAAATCCAGGTGGCGCGGCAGCGTGCGTGGCGGCGGCGTAAATCTCATAATTAGAGCTCTCCCTCAACAAATTGTCTTCTCTCGTTAGAAGCGTCCTTGAACGTTTCCGAGCCACCCTCGGAGTCAACCCTTCCGCGGTAACCCGACGTGGATTAGCTCGGTATGTTCCCTGGGCCGCACCAGACGAGTGGCGGGGGTCGAATTAATCGAGTTAACGTGCCCGGCTAAATTTATTAGCCGCTTCCTATTAACCGTTGCCCGTCGTGCCCAGCGAGCATCACCGACCACGTCGCTCAGAGACGCGCTCAAATGAAATTGGCCGACACTCTTGCTCGCCACGCGCTAATTTCGGACGCTCCTTGTCTTTTTACGAGCAGAGGCGTAAGCACGTTTCGACGACATTGCGCCATTTACTGCGAATTGCTTTTAGCCCCGCCGCGCGGAATGTATCCCAACGTGGTTGCCTCTTTTTTCCCCCCGCAAATTTTATAATCCATTTTCCGGACGGAAGGTCGATCGACATGTACGAAAGCCTCGACGTTAATTTCCTTAATGCATTGGGGGGGGCACGAAACGGACGGGGGATCTCATCCGTGCATCAGATTGGAAAATTCTTATTTCGTTCGTTTCAACGTCGTCCGGTGGATACGCATTTCAAGACAGTTTAGACAGTTTTTGTTCAAGATTATTCTCTTAAATGTCACCGATGGGTTGTTTGATACCTTTGTAATTGAACCGTGTTCTTCGAGAAGGTGTCCAAAGTGGGAGATTCCCACCCTTTCTATTTCAAACAGGACACCTAGAAGACCTAACCCAGACTTGATCTAGACATCGTTTATTATCGTTAACCCGTGACTTTCGTTACTTTTATTCCCTACAATGGTTCATAAATAATTAATTTGCACGTTTAACGATATTTTCTCTTGTTTCGCGAGAAAGTGGGGGGACAACCAGTGCAGTGTGTTTTTCTGTTTCGATGGAAAGCTGGTCGTTCAAAGAGTATCTCGCAACGGGATGGTATTTACCTGTAGTCGGCTGCCTATTGGAAGACGACGAAAGGGACGAGAGGGAAGTGGTTTTCGAGCCCAGAGCACGCCATCCTCCGTGCTGCGACGCGTCGGAGTGCCTCTTTAACCGGAAACCATCGCGAGCCGCGGGAGAGTTCTTGTACCAGTCCGGGACGTTCAGTCGCTGCAGTGATCTTTGTACTCTGAGCTCGTGTTCGCTGGGTACCCGTTCGCCAATTTTCTGCAACTCGTTCTCCGGCGGCTGTAAAATAAAAATAAAATGCCACGATCAGCGACCCGAGTGCATTCAGTTTACCGGAGTGCTTTTTCCGACACGACGATCCCCCCGGCTTTCCAGCTACGATTCTTACGGCTAGATTCCAGCGAATCATCCCCCGACTCCATCGCGTTTCTCCAGATACGACGGCCAATTCGCTTATACAAATAAAATTGCAAAGGATACGACGGTTGAATGGAAACGAATTGAGCACTGTCTACGTTCAGCTGTTTTCATTTTATTACGTTAAATGGATTTAAATCTTGAGTGAATTTTAATATATTAACCCTTTGCACTCGAGGGCCCCGCTATGGAGACAATGCAAATAATTTTTAAGTCATAACATAAGGACAAAGACAATAATAAAAAAAAATTGATAATTTTTTGTTTTTTTATATATCATAACTAGACTGCGAATCTTCATGCAAATTCATATTTTTATTAATGAAATTAATGAAATTGGAGCTTTGTAGAGGGTTGTCTCAACCCCTAGATATAATAATTCGTACCTTACTTTAAGTATTTCTTATATTCTTGCATATTAACTAAATTCTGTAGTTTTTTGAAAATTAAAATTTCCCATAAATGCATAAACATCCGCAGTCTAATCATAACATTTGTATCCATAATCAATTAAAAAATAATTTACTTATTTGTAAATATGATCTTTTCACTAAAATTGCTTCGAGTGCAAAGGGTTAAGAATTATTGATTTACTTGCGTCGATAATATAGTAGAAGAATATCAACATCTTCAGTGACATTTAACAAGTAGAATTGAATTTTGCTTTCAGGCAAATACCTTGAAACAAAATCAGAAACAAGTCTAGAAATTTCCATACAATGTTGGCAATTGTTTAGAATGTGTTTCTCGTTTTACGCGAAACGCTCGTTAAACGTGTCCCGTAAGTATATTAAACGTGAGAACTGTGTTTCGACGTCTGTGACTTCCACGTTACGCAATTCTCGATGCGCATTTTCACGACGTAATTATCGTGCGCCGGCAGGATTCCTTTCTCGTAATTATTATCGGCAAAAGTAACGAGTGCATCGCGTTCACTCGATATCCCCTGTAGCGTGAGTGGAATAACAATTTTCTTAAGTACAACTATTACCAGGATATTAGATACAACACAAAAGTTATTAAAGATCGTTATCTACGAACAGAAACAAGTTCCACGGCACGGAAACGCCGCGTGCCCATTAAGCACATATTCTCTGTTTTTTCTATATTTGTGTAACTACTCAATTATTGCAACAAAATGATATTTATGAACCCTGCAACTTCAACCGTGAAATAATGAAATAAATCTGATGTTGAAAATACATTTTTCAGAGGCTAATAAAATTGCATTCGTTGACGCATCGAGTACCACGTTCTATTTGAAGAAAAAGTACAGCTGCACTTTTCAAGCGTTACGCGATGCACGAAAGTTCATAAAAATAATGCAGGAAAATGCCACCACGTCCATGAATATTTCATTTTTCCACGTGACATTTTCTGCTATCTATAATCGCTTTAAACGTACAGCTCGTCCCAGTTGCGTGGGGCGCCCTCTACAGCAATTACCCGTAAAGAATGCACCTGAACGACGTTCACCGTACGAAGGAAATCGGTCTTTCGTTCGTAAATTCCGTTTTCAGTACAATTACTCCAGCCATTAGTAAATTACGTATCTTTATGCAAATTCATACTTTCGTAGGAAACGGGTAAAGCAACGGGACCTGGACGGAAACATGTTTTGTAATTAGAGGATTCCAAAAATTGTCTTTAATCTGTACAATGTTTAAACCATACGCAAAAAATATATTACAGTATTCAATCGGTGTATTTTACATTTCTAACCTAAAAGACTGAAGTTTCATCCTGCAATTAGACGCTGGAATTCGAGTAAAATTAGATACGAAATTCTGAACGGGAAATTATGAATTTCCTCGGTTCAAGTCCTTCTGTCTTCGCGTGCTTCCTACACGCGAGTGCAGTCAACGGTTTCATTCTGCCTTTCATTCGGCCTTCGACGAGTTACCTCATCGCAGCCAGAAAGTCCGCCCTCCGCGTTTCAATCAGGAAAAATCGATCGATCATTTTCCATATCCTCGTCTGCTTACGTACGCCCGAGCTCCATGACATTGGAAAACGCTTTTAAGCGGTTATTCTACCAACGAGTGGTTTCCAATGAGCGCACTCGGAATATTTCCAGTCGTACGCTATACTTCCCTCGCGTCGTTTGTCTCACAGACATATTAACCGTTTGTGTCCCGAGAATTTCTTTTAATACGTCCGGTTATTACTTTTTTTTTTACTAAGAATACGGAATTACAATATGTACACAAACCTGGAACGAAAAGCCTTCGATACAAATCCTCAACATACTATATTCACGATCTTGTCGACGATTGATTAATTATTAAATAGCTGGTCTCCCTAAAATTGATTATGGTTTCTTGTTACTCTCGACGATACGACTGTTTTGTATAATCGGTATGCACAGGAAAAAAATGACAGTCGAACGAGTACGTGACATTTTGGAACAAGTTACTCGCGATATTTGGATAACTTCAGAATGTAAGGTTAGGAAGGCGTGACTACGTAGTCCATCGATGTGATCGATTAACTAATATATGAGTAATAACTTAAGGGGGATACTTAAGAGGATTAAGGATATTTAGTCAAACAAATAATTACAATGTTAAAAATTACAGATAAAATATTTCGAAAATATCGAACAACGTAGAGAATACCCAACAGAAAAAAAAAATAAAACTTGCAAAGCGTCGTCGAGGCGCCACGAGTCTTCAACGTTAAAACTTGACCTATTTTAAGCACTGTTTCCAACATTCTACGACTTTAAAACATACGCATCAGTATATATTTATCATTTCATTGCAAGATAATTTATTGTATCTTTGTACAACCAGAATGATTCTTCGAGACGTCCAAAATTTATTAATAAATAAGACAGAATACTATACACAACATTCATACGTAAATTCATGAGTTATAGGTTAGGGACTATTTTTTCACAATTCTAATATTAATATCTTGGATAAAAATACGTGTCTTTCGGACACCTTGTATTTCTGCATTTCGGTTTCAGTTGAGAAATTTCGTATTATTAATTCTAGGCAGCCTCTATTGTCAGTAATATTTTCAAAATGCATTCTAAATTAATGATGAATTTACATTTCCAGTCTACGATAATTGAATGGTATCTAAAAGTAGACGATTGTGGAATTAAATTCACGATGTGAGAGGAGATTAAATATTTATCACCGAACCGAAACGAAAACTCTACAGAGTGTCTGAGAAGTACCTACACGTTCCATACGAACCTCTGAAAAACTTCTACTTTATTTTCCATCGTATTTAATTGAATCTAAAATAATATCGATCGAGCCCAAATAAGAATGCGTTTGATAATCGATTATAAATAGACCCGTGGTAGACGAGTTACGGGGAAGTCGATTGCACGAGCACGCACATCGTAATGCCGTTGTCTGTACGCAGAGAAATGCGTAACGATTAGCTCTGAAGTCTCGCGTAAGATTTCCATATGGCATACAAAGATGTTAACGGGACCTAATGCCATCGAATCGCAAAGGATAGACAGAGGAACGCGTGGCTGGCCTACGCACGTTGCTCCTTTGGTTATTAACGTTCCAACAACGGTTCCAGCACCATCTGTGAGAACGGAGTTTCAGTGAATGGCAAAAACTATTCCCAGCGTGGACGTCGTGGGTTAAGCTATAGTCGCTTCAAACACTATTGAACGGTTCCCCATTACAATATTTCTCGTCGACTACTCAGAATTGCAATACGGTACAACGTCGATCACCCAAACTTATCAGAGGAGACAAATTCGTTCCGATAATCGATTCATCGAATGGTCTAGGAATTTCGTTTTATTTTAATTCATAATATTTTCAAGCATCAACAACAGATACATCATTTAAAAATATTAGCGTAATAAAGTATTTTTGTTTTATTTTTATTATCAATTGAACATTTTTTACATAAATTTTATTAATTTCTGTCCCATATTCCTAACCTTCAAACTAGAATTTATAAACATCTCTAGATTTGCGTGTGAATAAACAATTTTGAAAATATCATACGATAGATCGATACGATAACCTTACTTTTTATGGGATTGTTCGGAAACAGTAGCGGAATTTCTTGACAGAGCCAAAATAGAGAAAAATAGTTAGGTTAGAGAGAAATATCAGGGAAGCCGCAAGCGTAAGTAGACGAGATTTGAAAATTCTAAATGAATATGCAAAAGAAGTGCATCGTTCTCGGGAAAGAGGGTCAAGGCGAGGCAAGAGGATGGAGACGAGTCTACGTAAATATGAGAGGCTCTTTCGCGCGATGTAGATAGGAAGAGTGACTGCATCGTTTGATGAGATCGATTTTAACAACAGTCCGGCTACTAATGAAATTTCTCCCGGCCTGAAAGCACGTTCGTTTGTGACTTGAACGTCGAGGCATTATGATGCCTGGCACGGCACCGATGAAAAACTGCATACGATTGCCTTGTGCCCGTGACTATGTTAAGAAACACAGAACAACGTATATATCACGCCCACATAATATTTTGCAATGAAACACGAGGTATAACTTAAATAAAGCACACGGATCCGACGTAATGGCCATTAAAGGCTTGAAAACTGATATTGCAACGTTACTTATCACGTATGTACGTGCTTGCAAGAAATTCCGCTTCTATCTGTCTCTATGCATAAAAGACGAGAAGGCATGAACTACAACTTCTTTTGCTTATTGTCGGGGCCATTAATTTCCCAACAGTTGGCAAGGGAGGCGACGTGAACGCCTCTAGCAGTGATTTTTGTTACCTAACCTTAGTTTTCCTTCTCAATACGAACTTTCATGGTAAGGTGTCATATGCTTTCTTTACCATGTTTTTCTATGAAAATACTTCACATAAAGATGATATTAACAGATTGAATATACAATATAGGATTATC